CAGCACTCAGGGTCAATCGGAAGTAAAGTCTGTGGAGTCTAATGACACTTGGCATTGAGCAAAAGGATGTGATAAGAGCCTGGCATGGGCCTGGGGCCAATCCTCTGGGACCCTTAGCTCTAAGAATAGTCAGCGTGCTCCAAGTACATTTTCTGGCCTCTGGCAAAGAGACTTTTCTGAGTTAAATATGATCCTCAGTGTTCCCAAGAAACACTGGCTCAGCAATGGAGCTTCTAAAGCTTAATCTCTTCCAATTCTTGTGATAAGGAACAAACAATGTCAACCACAATTGGGTTTTCATTTTCATTTTATTTTATTTTATTTGTTTGTTTGTTTTGTTTATACAAGCACTGGGTACAGTCAGAAGCGCAGGAGGGTGAGAGAATACACCAGAGCCAGAGCGGGGAGCAGAGCAGGCAGAAGGACCGAAGTACACTGCTGAGGGGAGCAGCGGGCGGCAGGAGAGGTCTGCGCGCCATGTGGGACCCTCCTCCGGTGGCCGGGGAGCAGCCGGGGATCGAACCGGCGCTGCAGAGGCCACGGGGCAGCTTCGCAACCCAGCGCTCAACCGCTGTGCCACCGGGGAGGCCTGGTTTTCATTTTTAAAGGGAACTCACTTTGGGTTCAAGTAACAGAATTTCAGATAAAAACCCCGTAAAAAAGAGAGTAAGTTTATCAGGTCCAAAATAACCACAGTCCTAGTCCACCTGTAACAGGGTGGTCCCCAGGAAAGGGGGAGGTTCCAGGTTCCCTGCCCCACCCAAGGGAGGGTGGAGCTGAGCAGGAAGAGGAGAAGCTGCAAGAAGAGACTGAGGAAGGAAGCAGGATGGAGCCAGGAGACCTGGAGGAGGCGCATGGAGCCTAGAGACACGTGAAGAAACTGCGCTTGTCTTTTGGTCGTGGACTGGGTGACACAGATGTGGGTGAGACCCGTGGGGAGGTGACAATGGCAGCTTTTATCTGGATGTTGATTTTGCTCTTTTCCTTCCGGGCTTGTCTGGTTGTTTCTGACCCTTTTCTGTGGGTCCCCACTGGAAGATGCTTTAGACTTGTAGCAGGCTTTGGGGCCTTGTTCTGGGCCGATCCCATATGGATGGACTTTTACCCTCGAGGGGACGGGTAACTTTGGGTGCTTCATTTAGAAACTAGACTCTTTGCCTTACCTGTATTGTTTCCTAGTTTTATTAAAGTTCCTTCCCATTAAAGTCTCCTATGTTTTATGTTGATGCGGCGGATGGCAGAACCCATGTAGAATAGGCAGGTTTGCGGGGTTTGGGCTGCCCCTCTCCCTGTCCTATAACACACCTTCTATTTTTAATTTATTCATTCATTTAACAAGCATTTATCAAGTGCCCACTGTGCACCAGGCATCATAATGGAGCAGCAGCTGGCTCATAAACAGGCAATCCCCAGCAGAGGCAGACACAGAGGCAACTGTTCAAACACAAGCCCACTCCCCACAGCAGGCACACACATCTTAGCCCAGGCAGGTGTTAATAAACAGGCCTCTGCCAGTAGGCCTGTTTTATTCTAAATATAGTATAGGTTCTTGTCTGTTCCAGTTAATATGCTGCATAAAAATGTGACCTCAAAACAATGCTTTTAATGCTGCTGAAATGTGCACTTAAAATGTTCAAAAGGGGGCCTCCCTGGCGGCACAAGGGTTAAGACGCAACCTATGATGCAATCTGCAGTCACTGCAGCACGAGTTCTATTCCTGGCCAGCCAGGGAGCAACCCACATGGTGCAGCAGACCTCTCCTAATTCGCCCGCTGCTCCCCTCAGCAGTGTATTTCAGTCAATCTGCCTATTCTGTTCCCCACTCTGTCTCTGGTGAATCCTCTCATCCCCCACATCTCTGGCCTGTACCCCAGTTCTAGTATGCATAAATAAATAAATCTTAAAAGAAAAAAATGGTCAAAAGGGTAAACTTTATGTTAGGTTTATTTTATGGAATACACATATATGGAAGTACTAAAGAAAAATTTAATGGTTAAAAGGAACCATTCTACTAAGCTAGACTCTGGGGGCTAAGATCGTTGGGCAGGACATAATGGGGACAGTTCACTTGTACCGTGGTGTCTGGGTCTTGCCTGGGAAAACTCACAAGCTGAGGGTTGGGGAATCCAGGAAAGATCCTAGAACTATCTGAAGGCTCCTTCATTTACATGTCGTGGTTGACTCAGAAACTAGAACTATCTCCTGGAGCTCCCACATGGGGCCTCCTCACTTGGCTTCTTAACAGCGCAGTGCCTTCAGAGCTGTCAAACTTTTTACATGGTGTTTCAGGGCTCCAAACATGAGTATTAGGGGTGGGAGGGCGGCGGGGAAGGCAAAGCTTGCATTCCATCTATGACCTAACCTCGGTGGGGTCTCACTTTTTCACATTTTACTCATCAAAGCAGTCATAAACCTACCCAGATTCAAGGATGGCAGGTAAAATTGGACTCCATGTTTTGATAGGAGAGTATCAAGATCACATTGTAGGAAAACATGTATGAGATATTGTCCCAGTCACCTTTGAAAAATACAATCTATTATACCTCCTTTCTAAGTTGACCAAAAGCAAAGAAACTAGAGGAATCTGTTTAGAGAAACAGAACACTGGAAGAGGCCCTAATGAACACGTTATGACTGCTCCTCAGAATGGTAGAATGCCAAGATCATTAGGCTGACTACAGAGAATTGATGGTGTCTAGCTGTAGTCCTGTGTTTGTGAGCTCAAAGTAGTAAGGCTTTTCAAATAGAACCTCTAGCTTCCTATCTTCAAAATACAGATAACCCTTGATCATATTTCAAAATTATTATTGTGAGAACTAAGTAAAATATTTTATGTGAGGACAAATTTGTTGCAAAAATGTTCATAAATCAATCCCACAAGTGGACCACTTTGACAATGCAACTGAGGAAGACAATGTATTGCAGGTTTATCCTTGCTACCACACTTTCCTCATAGTGTTATAGGACAGGGAGAGGGGCAGCCCAAACCCCGCAAACCTGCCTATTCTAAATGGGTTCGGCCATCCGCCGCATCAACACAAAACACATGAGAGTAATGAGAAGGATCTTTAATAAAACTAGGAAACAATACAGGTAAGGCAAAGAGTCTAGTTTCTAAATGAAGCACCCAAAGTTACCCGTCCCCTCGTGGGTAAAAGTCCATCCATATGGGATCGGCCCAGAACAAGGCCCCAAAGCCTGCTACAAGTCTAAAGCATCTTCCAGTGGGGACCCACAGAAAAGGGTCACAAACAACCAGACAAGCCCGGAAGGAAAAGAGCAAAATCAACATCCAGATAAAAGCTGCCATTGTCACCTCCCCACAGGTCTCACCCACATCTGTGTCACCCAGTCCACGACCAAAAGACAAGCGCAGTTTCTTTACTTGTCTCTAGGCTCCATGCGCCTCCTCCAGGTCTCCTGGCTCCATCCTGCTTCCTTCCTCAGTCTCTTCTTGCAGCTTCTTCTCTTCCTGCTCAGCTCCACCCTCCCTTGGGTGGGGCACCCTGTTGCAATAGTAGTCACTGTCCAATCTTCTGCTTGCCTGTCTCAAAAGTAGGAGAGATATTTGGAAGCTCTGAGAGGGCAAACAACCTGGGCAGGGTCATTCAATCGAGGAAAGATATGAAAGGCCATTATCTTTCTGGGACATCAAGAATTTCTATTTTAAACTCCTTGCTCGCTGATATTTCCTAATAGGTGACTGACTTTAGCTAAGAAGCATGACATAGATTATACCCAGGATCTGAAGTCACACTGCCTGGGGTCATCATTTACTAGCTGTGTGATTTGGGGAACGATAACTAAGTTCTCCATGTGTAAAAATGGGAATGAGATCTCACACACAGAATTAAGAAACAACCAACTTGACATCAGGCACTTAAAACAGTGCCTCACAAATAACAAGCACTTTGTGTTTGCTGCTGCTACCATCACTACGGTTTACTTAGCATATAATAGATGCTAAAGGTTTTATTTATTTTATTATATATTTTTCATCATTTTCCACTTTTGCACAATGTATGCATTTTCATCTTGGTTATATTCCCCACACAATTCCCATCCCCCTTATTTTAACCCTAATCCCTCCTTCCCTCTCCACCCCCCCCCCCGTGTGTCTCTGGTCTATAGTTGCTTGTTGATTTTGATTTTTACTTTATTACAATTAGTCTTTTTCCTGGTCCCTTACTTAGGTTTTCTAGATTCCTGCTATGAGTGAGACCATCCGGGATTTTTCTTTTTCTTTCTGGCTTATTTCGCTGAGCATGATCCCTTCCAGCTCCATCCATGTTGCTGCAAATTGCATGTGTTTATCTTTTTTGAATGCTGAGTAATATTCCATGGTGTATATGGACCACATCTTCTTGATCCAGTCATCTATTTTTGGGCATTTGGGCTGTTTCCAAAGCTTAGCTATTGTAAACAGTGCTGCTATAAACATAGGGGTGCAGGTGCTCTTTGGAATGGATGTTTCTGTGTCCTTTGGGTAAACACCTAGGAGTGGAATTGCTGGATCCTATGGAAGCTCCATCTTTAGATGCTAACGGTTTTACACTGAGAAAGCAACACCCGAGAACACAATGAAATGTAAAAGCGGAAGTATCCCCAAAATGACAAGTTCATTTTGGAAAGTCTTTTTTAAGATCTTTATCTTTTTCAATTCACAGATGTCTACCGCGTCAGTTTGAAGATCTATGTCACTGGAGCCAAAAAAAAAAAAAAAATTTGGTGGAAATTTGGCTCACTGACGCCTGCAGTTCCAATTTAATTTATTTATTGCCTCTGCGAGGTCCACAGGCGGGGCTGTCCCCCAAAAGCCGACCGAGGGTCCCCCTACACAGCCGACACGACCCCACAGGGCTCGCTCGCTTCGACACTTCCGCGTCCTTTCCCCGCCCCTTCCCCTTTCGGCGCCTTTGAGTGACGTCAGGAGAGGCGCGCCGGAGCCCGGTCCGCGCCTGCGCGCTGCCCAGTCGGCCGCCCGGAGCGTGCGCGCTTCGGGGCGTCGGGGCTGCAGCGCCGCGGGGCCGAGTCCGGGTCTGAGGCGTCCTCGCGCCGTGGACCATGAACCGCAGCCGCCAAGTGACGTGCGTCGCCTGGGTCCGCTGCGGCGTGGCCAAAGAGACGCCGGACAAGGTGAGGCCGGGGGGCGCGCGTGCCGCGTCCTGGGGGGGCCGGGCGCGGGGACCCCGGCGGGCCGCGGCTGCGCGTCGTGGGGCTCGGAGCGCCGGGGCTTCCCGGGCGGGGGAGCCGGGGGCTGCGCCTCCAAACGGCCCCTTTCCCGAGGCCCAGCCCCACCCCAGACGCGTCCTCGCGGGTCCTCGCGGCCTGCGGGGGGCGGGGTGTTGCTTGGGGCGCGCAGCCCCCCCAAGCCTGCGACGACCCGCGGCTGCTCCCCTCCCGGAGCTGCTGCAGCCCGAGGGGGAGGGAGCACGTGCGGGAGAACCCGCCTCCCGCGCCGCGTTGGAGGAGCGAACGGGTTGAAAACGTGTGGGAAGCTGCTGTGGGGACGACAAGGCGTGAGGCTGGAGCTGGATGAGGAGGTCTCGGCAGTCGCCTCTGAGGGGGGTGGGGTGAGAGGTGAGTGTGCTCGCTGCACCCCAGGCTTTGCTCAGAGTCCCAGGAGGGCAAGGCCCTGCCAGGCGGTGTGCAGCTTGTGCGTGGAGGTAACTTGCGTTTGGATGATAACATGTCGGTGGAAAGAAATGCTGGGGAAGAAGGGAAGGAGGGGGGCGTGGGGGGGGTGGGTATTTGAATGCAGTTGTGCCGGTGATGAGAGAGATGTGATAGTGTAACAGGATGGTCCCCAGGAAAGGGGGAGGTTCCCTGCCCCACCCAAGGGAGGGTGGAGCTGAGCAGGGAGAGAAGCAGAAGAAGAGACTGAGGAAGGAAGCAGGATGGAGCCAGGAGACCTGGAGGAGGCGCATGGAGCCTAGAGACACGTGAAGAAACTGCGCTTGTCTTTTGGTCGTGGACTGGGTGACACAGATGTGGGTGAGACCCGTGGGGAGGTGACCATGGCAGCTTTTATCTTGATGTTGATTTTGCTCTTTTCCTTCCGGGCTTGTCTGGTTGTTTCTGGCCCTTTTCTGTGGGTCCCCACTGGAAGATGCTTTAGACTTGTGGAAGGCCTTGGGGCCTTGTTCTGGGCCGATCCCATTTGGATGGAGTTTTACCCACGAGGGGACAGGTAACTCTGGATGCTTCATTTAGAAACTAGACTCTTTGCCTTACCTGTATTGTTTTCTAGTTTTGTTAAAGTTCCTTCCCATTAAAGTCTCCTATGTTTTGTGTTGATGCGGCGGATGGCAGAACCCATTTAGAATAGGCAGGTTTGCTGGGTTTGGGCTGCCCCTCTCCCTGTCCTATAACAATAGGATTGTGAGTGGCTTTGTTACAGAAATAAATTCTAGCCTTTTACCCAGGCAGGGGAAGAACAAGCGGTGCTTCAGGAATGGTGAGGTCAGGAAAGCTTTATTCCTCCTCATGCATGAGGTCCCAGACCTGGGTAGTCCCATAAGGTCTGAGCCCTGATCTAGAGACAAAGAATTTCTTTTGTACACAACCACTTTACATTGATAAAGCTGGGTAGTTAGCACACAAATTCTTGACACAGGAAAAGGGGAAGGATACAGATCTTGGAGGATGGCCTGGGAGAGCAATCAGCCCAGCAGGCTGCCAGACCTTGTTTAGATCTGCTTATTAAGGAAGCAATCTTACTTACTTTACATTTCCAGGTCTATGACTCTAACAGGGAAAGATTTCTTTTTCTTAGCAGTTCCCTTTCAGCTTCCTCTTGAAGGAACTCAGGAATGAGGGGTTGGAATAGCCCCGATAATGCAAATTCTCCTCCCCCACCCCCCTGTTTCATTAACTCTTTTTTCTGGTGTTTGGCTTACAGTAGGCACTCAGTGCGTTTCATGGAAGAGGAACAGAAAATTATCTTGTATTAAAATTACTGAAGGAGGTAGAAGTTGTTAAGACTTTCAACTATTTGAAATGTAAAATTCCAGAATATATTTGAATTATATTTCTAATACTTTAAATATATGGCCGTTGGAAGGCAGTGGTTTCTGAATGTTTCTGCATTTTGGAGCCAGCTGGGGATCTTCCAAAAAATTTTGATGCCCGTGCCCCACTCCCAAGTATTGTGATTTAATTGCCCTGGAATGGAGCCTGAAACTTTAAAGATACTCCAGGTGATTCTAATGTGCAAACACGTTTGAGAACTATTGCTTGAAGAGTTTATGGGAAGTGGTTGACTATATTCTAAAATTCTAGAAAGCAAAACTGAGACCAATAAGGAAACTAGAAAATAAGTCTTTAAATTAAACTTAAGAACCTTTACTTTCTGGCGATGTCCAACAACTGATTGGCATCCCTCAAGAGGATATCCTTGTTGTTAGAGACTTTTTCAGCACTGGGTGACTGCTTCAGTCATGGGAATCAGTGCTAAGCGATGCACTCAAGCACACAAACAGATTGGTCTCCATCTACAAGAGTGTACAGTTTAGTAGCCATAAGTGTGTTTTAAAAGGTAATGGAGCATAGACTAGGTGATGGAATGCCAATTTTGAAACAGAAAGTGACTTCAGTTTTGAACAGAATGTCCCAGTCTTAAAGACTATTGAAAAAATGGAACTGGAGTGTAGGTGTGACATGATGTGATGTGTCAAGCTGGGAACCATCAGGTGTATGGAGAATGAAACATGGTGTCTGGCTTGCACACAACAGCAAGAAAAAGGCCAGCTCCCACCAGCGGGGAGCATCCCTAGGGGGTCTATGCAAAGACAGAGAGGCAGAACAGCTCCCCCATGGGAGGCTTCCCAGAAAGGGTCACTGCTGGATGAATGCAGTGTCGGGTGTTTTACAGAGGTGCTCATGTTTTGGGGTTTAGGGGAGCAGCAGTTTCTGCTGCTGCTGGTGGTGCAGTTTCTTGATTGATCGTTTGGGACTTAGGTCGTGGTATAGGTAAACTGGCAACTTTTCAACACAGTGTTTTTCTTTTGTTACTGAATTTTCCCTCCAGTTAGGTCTCATGTCTCCCAGGGTCCCAGTCCCTATCTCCCTATCAAGGTCTAACCCTTCATACAGACACAGAGGGAGAAGTTTGGAGTTACCAGTTTAGAGATGGGAGTTTTTAGGATTTTTTAAAAAGATTTATTTACTTATACATACAAGAACTGGAATACAGGCCAGAGATGTGGAGGGTGAGAGGATTCACCAGACAGAGTGGGGAACAGAACAGGCAGACTGACTGAAATAAACTGCGGAAGGGAGCAGTGGGCGAGACAGGAGAGGTCTGCTTCGCCATGTGGGTCACCTCGCTGGCTGGCAGGGAATCGGGAATCGAACTCACTGCAGTGGTTAGCTGCAGCTTGATATCGCTGTCTTTAACCCTTGCGCCATCAGGGAGGTCCCGAGATGGGAGTTTTAATCTGGACAAAGAATGAATAATGTTGCCTGATGTGTACTTAGCAGTAGTCACAGGACAAAGAGCAGAGGACCTAGGCTGGGGAGATTTGCCTAGGACTACCCACAGGGAGCATGGGAGAAGAGAGAGAGCTAAGCCTTCAGAAAGGAAGTGCAACATGAGTAAGCTCCTCACTGTTGGGGAGGTGTAGAGTGCCTGTTGAAATGCTGTGCAGTTTTTACTGTTGGTAAATCTGTGATACATATGTTGGGATCACTATGCTAGAGATAGGCAAATGAATAACTATGCCTGTGTTAACTGCCTGATTAACAAGTGTGGACATGTTGACACGATTAAAATCAGTTGAGTTAAATGAAGGTAATCATTTAAGGTAAGGGACTTAATGTCTGAGAATGTAGAGCTACTTTTGAAATAATGATCTTTATGTTTAAAAAAAGACAAAAATCTTCATCATTCTCCGAATAGCACTTCTGAACATATTTACAAACTGTTTAGACTAGACTTAGCTCCATGCAGTAGAAATACAAGCTTTAGCTGTTTGATGGTATCATACAACTGAGGTGAAGGAGACAGCCTTGAGAGCAGCTTAATCCCAGAACATCATGTTCCTTGCTGCTTGGTTGTAGAAACATTTCATTGAAACCACCAAGTCTGTTGGACCTGTGTAACTCTGTTGAATGGGGATAACTCATCTGATCAAAAAGGAAACCCAGAAAAATACGATCAGACCAAAGTGGCTCAGCCGCCAACTTATATTACTCAACTCGTCGATATTTGCATAACTTTCCTCTGTTAGACTGGGATGCCAGCTAGATTCTGGAATAGATCATTTGTAGTGCTTATATTGATTTAGTAGATAGGATATTAAGATTCTCCAACATTGTACTACAGCATTTCAATAAAATCATGCCAACTACTTCTTCCTTTCGTTAAAGAAATGTTTCGTGGAAGAAAATGAGATCAGCTAGCATAGAAGCCAGTTTACACAAATTTTTGTTTGAAAAGACTGGAGAGGTTATCACTTCTCGGCCTTTTGACTAAGATCAAGTGAAAAGCTGGAGAGAGTAAAGAAGATGAACATGATTTTTTAATAGTTTCAAGTGGGAAACAATCCTAATGGTCAGGACCTGTGAAAACTCAATTTATATTAAATTTAGAGAGTCTGGGTTGAGGTGTGATTCTTAATGATTCTTGAAGTTTTATTTTACATTAGTTTGCAAACCTCTTTAAAGACGTCTAATGATCTCGTGATATATTGTAATGAAATGTTGCTCTCTTGTAGGTAGAACTTAGTAAAGAAGAAGTAAAACGTCTCATTACCGAAGCAAAGGAAAAATTACAGTAAGTTTAGGAGTGTCAATTTGAAGTAAAGTCCAGACAAAGTATAAATCTTAAGTGATGATGACACGGTGGTCTTATCATTGAATGGTGCCAATTGGGTGTTTTTCTTTGCTCGTCGGCATAGAGAAGAAGGTGGCAGTGATGAAGAAGAGACAGGGGATCCTTCCGAAGATGGAATGCAGAGTGCGCGGACCCAGGCGCGACCCAGGGAGCCCCTGGAGGATGGAGACCCAGAGGACGACAGGACCCTAGATGATGATGAGCTGGCAGAGTATGACTTAGATAAATATGACGAGGAAGGTGATCCAGGTCAGAATTCATTCACTTCTGCTTTTTCATCGCGGACGCAATGCATTAGATCTTCTAATTTTCCAAAGCTTTACTCCAAGACTTTATTGTCCTTGACATCAGTCAGATGATCTGGCTGAAGGAAGGCTTGGGCAGACAGCATGCTTCCTGTGCTAGTTTAGGAAGTAAGCTCTCACCCACTAATAGAAGCTCTAAAAGGATGTATTATTTTATTGCAGGTATAATAATCTGTAACTCGCTTTTCTTTATCTGCAATGATGAGAGAGGACTTACTACCTTCATTTTACGGAAGACTTTCTAAACAGGCTTAAAAAGATGAAGTAACTTTGCCAGTGTCACGTAGCTGGTGAATAATGGAGTTGAAACTTGAATGCTCTCTGACCCTAAAGCCTTCATTCCTTGCAGTGTACTTTATTAGATGTAGAGAATAGTTTTTTCCATTGGATTCTGGATTGTGGGCCCTAATCATGGCTACTAGGACAGTGCCAGGGGATACAGAGAAGTGCCCGCCCTGGAGAGATGGCACTCAGAGGCGGCTCCTGGGTATTCTCCACACCCTGCAGGTCACTGTCTTGGTCTTTCTCATCCACTGGAAATTCCCATCTCTGTTGCCTGTGAAATGTTTGAAACCCATTAGTCCCACCTCCTTAAAGTAGCTTCCCTTAACATTTAGTAAGAGTATCTTCCTTTTCCTGAGTTTTGTTACTCAGTGTGTGCTCTCTCTTCACTGCATATGTGCTGTAAAAAGCTCCATTCTCGAGTAAATTTAGTGAAAAAACATTGAATACGCCCCTTTTCAGATTCTTAAGGCAAGTTAGCATATCCGTAGTTCTGAGAAATCTTGCAATTAAAAAGCCATTTAACTTTGTGAAACCCGTCATTTTATCAAAAGCTTTGGGCCAGAAAACCCTTATTTATTCTGTGTTGATACCAGTGTTTGGGGTAATTTTATTTCCAGGCCCTCAAGCGCATCTCTCGGTAGCACTTTTGAGTAGAGGTGATGAGCAGCACACTAGAGAGTCTGAGCAAAATTCGGAAAGGGAATTTCTCAATTTGATTTAATTCTTCTTATTGGAAGATTGTTGCTCAAGACTATGAGAGAGACAATCCAAAGTCAAATACGGCTTTAACTTTCTCATTTTTTCCTTTTTCAACTATGGGTGACTGAGAGTTATGAAGTAGATGGTTAGACCTAAATTGTAAGAAAAGGGGTACCTTAGGAAACAGTGCTTGCTTATTCATTTCAATGTTTGAATTCTTGCAGATACTGAAACGCTTGGTGAATCCCTCTTGGGTCTCACAGTCTATGGAAGTAATGATCAAGATCCTTACGTCACTCTGAAAGATACAGTAAATATTTACATGGCTTTTCTAATTATGCTCCTTAAGTGTTTGAAAAATCTTACCACATAGCTGCTGCTAGTCAATAACTTTTTCCCTCTCCTCTTAGGAACAATATGAACGGGACGATTTCTTGATTAAGCCCACTGACAATCTCATAGTTTGTGGCCGAGCTGAACAGGACCACTGCAATTTAGAGGTGCATGGTAAATGAAATTTAGCCCTTACTAAAAAGCTTTCTATTTAAGTGCTATTAAAATAGTTACCATCATAATTACTATTATGACCTTATAGGTAGGCAGTCCTGCTATGCATCCTTTAAGTTGGTTACATGGTTCAATCCTGCACAGCCTACATCTGTCCTAGTTATTGTGCCTGTGTAGTGTGAAATGTCACTTTGCTACCCGATTTATGGCAGTAGATTCACTGGAAACTTCTAATAGGGATTTGGTAACCTTTTATTTAAATAATTTTACCAGTTTTTCATTTTTGGCCCACTGGGAAAAAACCTAGAAGTAATGGTACATAAAAATGCAAGAAAAAAATTATAATCTCATTTCCTGCCCACTGTTGCTTTTTACTCAGTCTGACTTCTTTTAATGGTGAAGATTATACTTAGTTGACAGGTTTTTTACCCTGTTTTATTCAGAGGCATCTAAATCATTTCCCCTTTTGCAAGATATTCTATTTTATTCAGAAAAATTCAATCCCGAGTGCCCACGTCTCTCCCTGGAAGCAGTCTCTTCGTCCTTTTTCCCATCCAGGGAATTGTTTGCAGCCAGAAGTTAATGTTTTGACTCTGAAGTAGGAATTGATCTGAGTTTTTTAATCAGATATATTTTAATGTTGATATTCAACATTAATTGAATGACTTTCCATTCAAATAGATCTTCAAGATGTCTGGAAAATTCTGCCTGCGGAGTTTTCCTTTTGTTTTTCTTGTCCCTTGCTCTTGTGCACACATCCTCAGACAAGTATAGCCACACCCAGTCCACCCACGCTCAATCTTGTATTTATCTGCCTTAAAATTTTGAAATGTTAACACATTTATGTTAACTGCCTTTTAGATGAAACACAGTTGCACAGTTGAAAAAAATTAAGACCTGTAGGTTTAATGTTTATTGGCATCTTCTAGGTTGCTTTGTCATTCCTTCCCATTTGTTAGTTTGGGTTCCTGTAACTCTTCACAGTCTTTAAGGTTGTCTGCAGGAAGCCTATAGATTAGGTCATTTTTATCACATGCCAGCCCAGTGTCATCTATCTGTAAAATCCAAAGTACTTTAAAGAGCTGATACTTCAGAAAAAAATGGTGTAAATTCAAAAGACATTATAATGTCAAATAATTGAACCCGTGATGTAATGTATCATCATCGATGTTTATGCATTCTCGTGTGAGCACTTAATGTAATCATTCCTTAGAAGTTAGGGGTGTTAGAATTTAGAGATAGGGTATTAAGGGAGTTGAGAAGGTAAAGGTAAAGTAGGCTTTAGGCCTACTAAAGCTACATTACATTTGGATTTGTGACTCTCCAAATTATCCAGCTTATCTCTTCTCAAGAATTTGAGAATTGCATTCTAAAGCTAATCTGAATGTTGATCTGATATAATTAAAAGCATCATTTTAAATGTAAGTTGAGTAAATCTACGATATTTGAGGTTCTTGCAAAACCACAAGCTAGTCATTTTGAACATGCATTCTCATCGTAAAATGCAATGATAGCACATTACAAGGAAGCTGCTCATCTCAGGGTCTGTCCCAGAAACATGTCTCAGGAATTTTTTTTTTTTTTTTAATCTTTAGCTTATCTTTGCTTCTTTCCTATACATAACATGCTGGGCTCTGTTTTGCCAGTTTTTCACTGTATAGTTTTTAAAAGACTTCTTAGTCATTGATTTTAACAATAGTTATGCTCCTTAACATAACTGCATGATAAAGAGCTAATTTTTCAGCTATTACAGATGTGATTTTTGACAAGCATTTAGACTCCTGAATATGAGCTGTTCTCTCTAGTGCTGTTCTTTTGTTCTTGACTTTTGCAACCAGACAGATGTTTAGCTTGAAGTGCTCCTAGGGGAGACCTTGTGAGCACTGGTTTTCTGTAATGAGTGGTGAGCCAGGAGGTCGGACCCTGTTTGCTGGTTGCATGCAGACAGACGTCCATTCTCCGGCCTCCTCTCCCTGAGCGCGCCAGGCGGTAGCACCACACGAAGCATGCCGAACTGTTGTCTGGCAGTAACAACTTTGGAATCTCTTTAATGTCATCAGATTTGTCTCACTTTAAACATGTAGCTACTATAGGTTTAATAGTCTGGTTTTTTGATCGGGATATGATTAGTCTGCTGCAGTGACCCTCTTCTCAATCTTTTCAGTTTATAATCAAGAAGAAGATTCCTTTTATGTACACCATGACATACTGTTGTCTGCATACCCTCTGACTGTGGAATGGCTGAATTTTGATCCTAGCCCAGATGATTCTACTGGTAATTAGAAAACTTAAGTTTGCTCCACAATTCCTAGTTTTGTGTGTTTTTCCTAACCACATAAGTTATGTGTGAATGTTCTCAAAATTTTAATGTTTGGGGCAGTTACATAGTCTTAAAAACACAATTACTTAATTGGTTTTGACCTGGATGTCCCCAGACTTTAGAGCTTAAACAGGCAGCTGCTCCACTGTAGGCAGGACAGGGCTGGAAAGCATTTGGGGTTACAGAACTGTGAAGGGAGGTCTCATAAAAACCCAGTATGAAATGGCATAACATGTTTGTTTAGAGTCATGACCCTTTTTGGAAAACAACAAAAATGAAGGGAGAATGAGATTCCATTGTTAGTCCTTTTAGCCACAGCTACATGCTACTAGTCAGCCTGCCCTGCCCTTTTTTTTTTTTTAAAGATTTATTTATGTATACAAGAACTGGGGTCCAGGGCAGATGTGCGGGAGGGCGACAGGATTCACCAGAGACAGAGCGGGGAACAGAACAGGCAGACTGACTGAAATACACTGCTGAGGGGAGCAGCGGGAGAGAGAGGTCTGCTGCGCCATGTGGGAATCTCCCTGGCCGGCTGGGAATTGAACCCCCACTGCAGAGGCTGAGGACTGCTTCACAGCTGCGCTCAACCGCCTGTGCCACCAGGGAGGCCCTGCCCTGCTTCTTAATAAGGAAAAATACTGATAATACCCAGCCCTGCCATTTTGTTTGCTTGGCTTGTTCACATTTATGATTTGATCAGATCCTCACCCTCACGGCAAGTGAAGGTGGAAGGGACTTTTGTTCTCAGTACCTGAATGTGAGGAACCTGGGGCCAAGAGACTGAGTCTGGGCTCCTCAAACTGTGGGCTGAGAACCAGCAGCACCTGGGAGCTGACTGGAAATCGGGAGTTGGGGCCCCACCCAAGACCTCTGGACAAAGAATCTCCATCTTGACACTCAACGTGCATGAATTTGAGAGAAGCTGCTCTAAGCCATTAATCTACCATGTAATATAGTTCATTAGCAGTCATTTTCTTTATTATAAATTCCCTATAGGAAATTACATTGCTGTGGGGAACATGACCCCCGTTATTGAAGTGTGGGACCTTGACATAGTGGATTCTTTAGAGCCAGTCTTCACACTTGGAAGCAAGCTATCAAAAAAGAAGAAAAAGAAAGGAAAGAAGGTAAACAAGTTAATGATATTTAAATTCTAATGACAAACCTAAGTTTTATTTTGGGGGAGGAGTATGAGAACGTAGTTTTAGTCAGCCGCTTTGGTGGAACGGGGCAGTCAGTCATGAAGTTACTGTAGTTTGTAGTGCCAAAAAGCCCATCCAAGGAAAAATTAATTTCTGGTTGCATAAAACCTTTGAGCACATTATTTGTTCTTACACAAAACAAATTACTCTCAGGTCTTTGTATTTAGTAGCTATTCATATTAATGTGCTAGTTTAAAATTTTATTTAACCTTTAGTATATTGAATTCTAAACATCCATGTATTCCTGTAGCTTTTAAAATTGTTAGGATTGGGGGGAGGTATTGATAATTTATAGACATGTAGCACTTAGATTAAGATCTACTACAGTTTCTTCCCTGTAAAGAATTTTTATAGTGGATCTAGACGGGGTGTTCTTTCTTTCTCTTCAAATTTAACATGAAAAGAGTAATCTAAGATTCAAAGAATCTTTCTAATAAACCTATTTTCTGAAATGAGGGGGCTTTTACTACAAAAAGTAATTGAATAATTATTACAGAGTTCTTCAGCAGAAGGGCATAGCGATGCTGTTCTCGACCTTTCCTGGAATAAGTTGATAAGGTAAAAAAAAAAAAGATTTCAGTCACTGTTAGACTGTAAACATCGATTTTACTCTATACCTGTGTGTCCCTGGCTCTCGCACATTACAGGTCTTTGTGTCCATGTCTTATTTTCCCTTCCAGCATTTAGAGAAATATATTCAGATCCAGTGCCCATTTTTGAATGGTGTTGTTTGAATGTGTTGTTGGGTATTTTGTTGAGGTGTAGGACTTCTTCATTCTGGCTATTGTAATGTCCCTTGTCAGCGACCCCATACAGCTGGTTACCTCACTATTTATTGATAGTTGATGCACGCTTTTAAATTTTGATGTGGTCCAGTTCATTTTTACTTTTCTTTTTGTACTTTGAGTGTTAGGTCCAAGAAATGGTCATGAAGTGTTTCCCCCAAGCATCTTATGCATTTGAGTTAGTATTTGTTAACGGTGTAAGGTAAGGGTTCGGCCTCATTCTTTTGCACGTGTCACCTACGCATTCTTTACACTTGTCCTTAAACAACAGTTCTTCAAAACCCCATTTTTCTAGTAGCATAGCTGATTTGAGGGACTACTTAGGCAAGGGAAGGTGAGCATTAGGTTGAGAACAACTTATTTGGGGGTGAGAACAAACTGGTTTACCCAGGGTACACTTGGTAACATTTCTGTTACACTGGATACTTTGTAACTGAGCAGCCTAAGGAGGATTCAGAATGCTAGCTGACCAAAGGTGCTCAGTCCTGGTCAGTTAGTCATTTGGAGAAAAAACCCTAAGATGTAGTTCCCAAACTTAGCTGCAAACCAGAATCTTTCGGGTAGAAGTTCTTGGGTTCTGATTTCCTGGTAGAGTTATAGATCTGGATGAGGGGCCCAAGAATATTTTGGGGGGTTTTTTTGGTTTGTTTTTAAGCTGCTCCAGATGAATCCGATGCTGCCAGGCTACAGGCAATTATTTGTTTTTTGTTTTATTTTTTAATTGGCCCTGGTGCTAAGGGAGAGATGAATAAGAGATTTAGTAATGAGTATACTATCGTGTAGGAGCCCACTCTCTCTTATTTATGGATCTGATCTATCACAATAATTGATTGCTGAGTTCTTATATAGCAATTGTTCTTTCACATAGCTGCAGGCTTGTTTTTTTTTTTAAGATTTATTTATTTATGCATATAAGAACTGGGGTATAGGCCAGAGGTGCTGGGGGTGGGGGTGAGAGGATTTACCAGAGATAGAGCAGGGAACAGAACAGGTGGATTGACTGAAATACACTGCTGAGGGGAGAGTGGTTGAGATAGAAGAGGTCTGCTCCGCCATGTGGGTAGCTCCCTGGCCGGGGATGGAACTCGTGCAGAGGCTGCGGACAGCTTCATACTGTTGTGCTTAACCCCTTGCGCAACCAGGGAGGCCCTGCAGGCTCATTCTTAACAGCATTCCACCTGGTGGATCAACCCCAACCCTCAGCCACAGTTCGCTGTGGCTAGTGCTCCTGCCCTGCCCCCGCCATCCCATCTCTGACTCCAGCGCCTGCACACCTTTGACCCCTCACTCTTTCCTTCTCCTTTTTAGTTTAGACCTTGATTCTCCTTCCCCTTCCTTCACAGACAGGGTATAGAATGCTTTAAAATAACTCCCAAGTCTGGTTCATAGAGGTTGGGGTCGTGGTTACTAGTAACTGTGGTACCAGTATCAGTGTCATTCCTAACCACTAGTAAAATACTCTCTTAGCAAAATTCAGTGTTCTTTGCTAATTCAAGCGCCTGTTTGGCAGTATTCTTTGTGGGGAGTGTAGTGTCTAGAAGATTTTGTTGTGGATGTTATTTATAAACCTCAGTGGTCATTTGTGTGACTTCTTTGGAGGCGTGTCTATTCAGAGCCTTTGTTCATCTTCTAATTGGGTTGTCTTTCCATTATTTAGTCAAGGGGTCTTTAGGTAGTCTAGATCTAAGTCCCGTGCTACATACAGAATTTGGAAATATTTTCTCCCATTCTGTGGCTTGTCCTTCCTTTCCTTGATAGTGTCATTTGAAGGCAAAAGTTTTTCATGTTGATATGCCTAATTTTTGTAGTTTATGCATTTGGTGTCACATCCGAGAAACTGTTGCCTAACCCAAATACAAAGATTCGTGCCTATGTTGTCTTCCTAGAGCTTTGTAGTTTTAGCTGTTACGTGTAGTCTGTGATCTGTTGTAAATTACTTCCGTGTGCAGTGTGCTGTGGAGGTCTGACTGCATTCTCTTACATGAGGATATCTAACTCTCCCTAACCTGTTGATGAAAAATACTGTTCTGTTTCATATTGAACCATGAATAATTTTGGCACCCTTCTCAAAAACTAATGGCTATAAACTTAAGGATTTATTGCTGCACTTTTCATTCAAGTCTGTTAATAATCGGGTATGTCTGTCCCTAATGCCGGTACCACACCGTTGTGGTAATTGTAACTTTTCAGTCAGTTTTGAAATCAGGAACTGTGAACTCTCCAGCTTTGCTGTTTTCAAGATTATTTGGCTATTTTGAGTCTCTTGCATTTCCACGTAACCTTTATAGATCAACTTACTTGTTGTCAGGAAACACATCCCCTAGAGTTTTAAAAAGAAGTGGTTAAAGCTATAGCTAAATCTACAGCACGGAAACTTTAAGTGATGTGAGCAGAGACCAGTGTCTCTAGAAGGCAGGACTTTCATCTCAACAGTGAGTCTTCCCGTCAGTGAACATGGGATAGCTTTCCATACATACTCTTTAATATCTTTTGACAATTTCTTGTAGTCTTCAATATATGTCTCTCTTCTGTTATATTCCTAAATATTCTTTCTTATGCTATAAATGGAAATCTCTTATGTTAAATGCTCTTGATTTTTAAGAGATTACCTGATTTGTTTCCTCCCTTTCTCAGAAACGTGCTAGCAAGTGCATCGGCTGACAACACTGTAGTTCTGTGGGATATGGCCTTGGGGAAACCTGCAGCTAGCCTTGCTGTTCATTCAGACAAGGTACGATTTAACACATAAAAAGTATTTTTAAAAAGTGTCACAGAGCCCTGTGTGATAGTTACAATTACCTATCTTAGCTTAGTGACATGTTTATAGAGGGCCCTAAAGAGGGACAAGAGGATGTCACGTCAGTCACCAGATGGGGTGCTTCCGCACACTGGGCTCCAGAGCACGTGGAGTTGCCCGGAGAGATCTGGCCACTCTCCTTTCTCTTGTGAATATATGTTAACATTTGAGGGGCTTGTGAAGATGGTGAACACAAATTAGACAAAGCGGATGATGCATTATGTCTTTAAAGTGTCAGCCTTTATTGGAAACAGACAAAAACAAACCCTTGGATTCTACTCAAAACTGAGGGCAGGGTGGAAGCAAAGGGTGGAGGGGTTCAGAGGACTGTGGTGGAGGTTACCGTTAGGTTATTTTGGTGGTGGGTGTGGTGTGGTAACATACACTTGAAGAGGTGTGAACTTGTACTCCTAAAGCATAGTGTTATAAACCAATATTGTTACCTCAGTAGATAAATTTTTAAAAGCTGGAGGGAAATGAACAAGAAAAAGTATCAGCCTTTATTTGGAGATGTTTTATTGTTCTGAGCATGTAGTACATGTGTGTGTTGTTACACAGTACTAAATTTCAAAGGGAAGTATTTGTGGAAGCACTACCACGCTGATTCTCAAGTATTAGATAGTTTCATCAAAACCAAAGCAGCACAAATCTGCTCATTTGTTTTCCTCCTTTTAGGTCCAGACTCTGCAGTTTCATCCATTTGAAGCACAGACTCTGATTTCTGGATCATACGATAAGTAAGAAAGCATTTCAAGAATGATTGCTACTGTTCCTATCCTTGAGCCAGTTCAGAAAGTCTCATTCTGCTCAGCTAGCACATACTACGGACGAGCCTGTGTCAAAATGTTTAGTAATACTCATTGGTCCTTTTCCTCTCGGGTCATTTCCTTCTGTAAGGGAATCCTCATGATGTATTTCCTAAGCCACAGCTACTTTGACGAGGGGGCCTCAGAGTTAGCCATGCTGTGAACACGCCATCCCAAAATTCAGTAACTTCAAACTAGAAGCATTTCTTACGCAGGCAAGGCTGAGCGACTCTGACGCAGGTTCAGCTGACAGCTCTGCTGGCTTTGGCGTGCGTGTTAGGGGCCGCGGGCACTTGGCTCTTCTCTTCCTGTTTCATATCCTTCTGGGATTAGCTGACTCACTCGCAAATATTTCCTTGGCAAGATCAGAAACAAGCAGAGATACCAGAGCCTCTCGAGACCCGGGCTCAGAGCTAGTATACTTTTGGGTTGCTCTGTTGGCCGAAACAGTAACCTCTGATTTTATGGTAAGACTCCCATGCCGCTGGCGCAGAGAGTGGCTGTAGGGAGAGGTGAAGGATTGGGGCCACTCAGGTGAGGGGTTTCCTGTCACGTGTGCTCCCTCTTACAGGCCGGGTGGGAAGCTGAGCGCGCACAAGCTGGTAGAAACAAGCCAACTTGTAGTCTTGATTCCTTATCCCTTTGAAGTGATTTGTTTACATTTTTTAGTTGGGATTAATGCAGAATTACCAAAGTTTGTACATTGGTTCCCCACTCAGTCACCTGCTTTTCGACCGTGAGTGAGTTTACCTGGTTCTGAGCACCACCAGGGAAGAGGGACTTGGAAATCACATTGTTCTCTTGGAAGTAGAGGGTTCCTCTTGCAAGTGGCGGTGTCGGCCTGGAGACGGTCGCGGATCCTGTGCCGTCACAGCCCCCAGTGCCATCAAGTAACAGGCACAGGCTTCTTGCTTCATCCAGAAGTGAAAATCAACTATTCTTTCTCCTGTATTGTAGCGTCTTTAAACAGGCTTTCAGCGATTAGCTCCCGACTTCTCAGCGTGGTTTTACTGCCATTTCTTTATAAACTTAAAGTAAGAGTAAACTTACAGCCCTAACATTGTCTGCGCCCAGGTCAGTGGCTCTGTATGACTGCCGGAGCCCGGAAGAAAGCCATCGGATGTGGCGGTTCAGTGGGCAGATTGAGAGGGTGACTTGGAATCACTTTTCACCTTGTCATTTTTTGGTAAGAGTATGCATGGTACTGTTTTCCTGTAAGTCGCTAATGACTTTTCTTCCGTTCCTCCCTCCAGTCTTAAAGGGTGAGACCTCCCTCTTCTGTGTCTGTCTCCGTTCATGGCCCAGCTGCCAAGACAGTTACGCTTTCTGTAGTCTCCCTTGCAGTCCATCCCTGGGTGACTCTGTCGGCCGGAACACTGACAGCATTCCTCATGCCTTTCTTCAGAAGGTCTATTTCCTTGGTTGCCCTGACATTTGTCATTATTCCCTCTTCCTTCTGTGAGCTGCTCCTCAGCCTGTACCTGAAGTAGCCAAGCTGGCTAGACCTCTGTCCTCACACTCTCAGTTCTGCGCTCCCAGCGCATATGCTGTCTCGTAGCTGTCACTAGCTACCTTGCTGCTTCCATGTCTCTCACCCTAGTCCAAACACAAGCACAGCTCCAGCCTCACACCCACCTGCCTCCATGTGAAAGCAGGCTCAGCATTATTGCAAGTAATACTTTTATGTCTGTGTTCATTTTTAATAAACTCCTCAGGTAATTCAGGTCTGTAGCAGCTGGTTTTCACTATAGTTTGCACTGCTTACCCATGTCACCTGATCTTACCTTTTACTTTTTCCAGGCCAGTACAGATGATGGCTTTGTATATAATTTGGATGCACGTTCTGATAAGCCAGTTTTTACACTTAATGCGCACAATGATGAAATCTCTGGTGAGCAAGAATAGCGTTTCATTTCTATTAACTTATGAAGAAGTAATCTGTTTTTCAAAGTGACAGTCTAATCTTACCTTCCTTTAGGCCTTGATCTAAGCAGTCAAATCAAGGGCTGTCTTGTGACTGCGTCGGCAGACAAATATGTGAAGATCTGGGACATACTAGGAGACAGGCCCAGTCTCGTTCACTCCAGAGACATGAAAATGGTGACGCATCTTTTTCTTCTCTTTCTCACCTGTACTGGTTGTCTTTCTCTAGGAATCTGCATTAAAGAATATCAGTTTGTTGGGACTTAGAACAGTTTGGGAGAATAATTACTCTGGTTCCATTTTCAATTCATAAGATTAACGGTGGATTGGCTAGGAGGTTGGGGAGAGGGTTTTCCAGAACACAAGTGAAATGACCTTATTTAAGGATGTTAAAAGGATTTTCTAGAGAAGTAGAATGTGACCACATTTATTTTTACCCTAAAATCAGGACCCTCCAAGGAAATCTTGAGACTTTGACACGATAGCTACTGCAGTTTGTCATCAAACTAGTTCTGTCTGCAGAGAAATTAGAAATAACCAGAATTCATTCAGAAACTATTCGAACACCTACCATATGCCAGGCACTGAGTTACATAAATTACAGATGTTTACAGCAGCAATTTTTATAGTCTGTGTGATGCTTATATTTACATCTAGACGATCCTTCCTCAAAATATGAGCAGTGATTACTTGCTGAGTGATTTTTATATTTGGTTATATTTTTTATAATGCTTGTGTGTTACCTGTTAATAAGAAAGCCTGTTAAAAACAGAAGTTTTTAAAATGACTTCAAAATAACCTGTTATTTCCTTAAAAGGACAATAGATATTTATGAAAATACTCAGGAGGATTTCCTAATAATCATAATCTGCTAACAGGGTAGTGGAGATCAGCACCCTGAGTGGCAGAGCGTCACATGTCCTCTCAGAACGTCCTGCTGGACTCGTCCGGCTCTGGGGGGGGGGGGTTGTCTAGCCTCACTGTGAATGCTCTTTGCCAGAGGCTTGCAAGAGAGACTAATGAGCTGGCTGCACGTGACCATTCAAGCCCTAGGTTCTTGTGGACGGGAGTAGGAACGTGGACATTAGTGCTCTCTGGAAATACTTAAATCACTGTCCGTGCTCTTCTCCCCAGGGAGTTCTCTTCTGTTCTTCATGTTGCCCGGATTTGCCATTTATTTATGCCTTTGGCGGGCAGAGAGAAGGGCTTCGGGTTTGGGATATAAGCACAGTCTCTTCAGGTAAGACTCTTATCTCCTGCTTTTCCCACATGAGTTCTCTAGGAGCTCACACAGGCTAGCCTGCCATGCTGGATAGACCCAGGCTCCACCCTGGAGTGGACAAGACCACGTGCAGTGTGAAACTTCACAGATCTGCCTTCCCACTTAGAGTTTTAAAAGTGAGTCATCTTAGGGACAGCAGAAAGGAGCAGCGTCTCAGAATGGCTCCTGTTGAGAGTTGCCAATATGAACAAATTGCCTTTTCCAGTTATCTTCTACAGAATCCAGCTTTTCTGGAGGGACCACTCCCCTCCCTTCAGAGGAGCCTGGCTGCCTGTTTGCTCCTTGAAGGTAGCCTGGTTTATCCTGTAAACGCAGCGGACGTAACCACATTGCCTGATTCCTGAAACTTCCCTTTCCTGGCAGAAAAACAGATCCTGAGATTTCTCTCTGGGTTACTCGGGGGGTGTGTGTATAAAAGTTCCAGAATCCACATGCTGGTCATGATACAGAGAAAGGTGAAGTCAGTAGAAGAACAAAAGGGAAGAGAGAGTCACTGTCCTAAAGGATGAGCCATCCTGTAGATTAGATAAAACGAGGATGAGCTAAAGAAAGTTAAAGCTTAAAGAGAAACTGACCAATTTAAAACATATTTAACCTCATTCAGTCCATTAACTTAATCTTCTAAGTTGGTTACTCATGTGTCCACATACAAGTGTTACTTTCATAAATTGTGCCCCAGAATAGAGAGGCCCTTAATTTTCTCATGTGGTAATTCAGCTGTTTATCTGTGTTTTAGTAAACGAAGCATTTGGAAGACGAGAGAGGTTTGTTCTCGGCAACGCAAGAAATTCATCTATTAGTGGCCCTTTTGGGACCAGGAGCTCAGACACACCAATGGAGTCTTAACAAAGATCCTACCTGAGAGATGTTTCATGTGTAGCTACAGCCGTGGAGCGACTGGAACAAAATTCACTTCCTACTGCCTGACATTCCTCAACAGCTGTGGTGGTGGCAGCCTTCTGCTTGCTACCTGAAAGTGCGCCTGTTGTGGCGCTTCTTGGAAAAAATAAAGATTTTTAAAAAAACAATTCCTTTAAATATGTCATCTGTCACAGACAAGACGGGCTTATAAAATAATTACTTTTCCTCATAAAAGTTGGGTAAGTCCAGGCTGGGAAAGGTGGTGATTTGGCCAACATTGCACAGTAGGCCGTAGAGAGGCCAGTGTCCCAAGACCTGCATGCACTTAGAAGAATTCTCAGCGCCACTCGTAGAATGTGGTAACTAAAGCTGGCGTGCCTGTCCCCCAGCATGGTAGTCACTGGTGCCCAGAAGAGGACATAACGTTTGTAAACAGCTGTGCACCTGAAGTAGCAGCTACAGCAAATACTGACCAAGCTCAAGAGAAAACTAGCAATATAGTAAGGGGATGCCTTGGGGAGGGTCAGGTGAGAGCGCACAACAGAAATCAGAAAATATTTTAACTGAATGATAACCTAAAATACTGTGGGACATTGCAAGAGCTGATCTAAGATTCATAGTCTTAAATGCATGTTTAGAAAAAAGGCAACCAAATTAGCCATTTTGAGAAAACACTAAACCCCAAATTAAACACCACAGTAGGAAACACACAAAGCAAAATACTGACTCTAGAACACTAATAAACTCTCAGCAATAACTGATCATAAAACATTCTGAGCAAAAGGTGATGCTAAAGATCTTAGACATTAAGATACGACTTACTAGAAATAACTAGTATTTACTGATTAAATTTAAAAATGAGCAAAATGGAAAATTTCCTAGGAAAAAAACAGCTCACTGACACTTACACAAGAAAAGCAGCAAATCCAGGCACTGAAGCCAGCCCCACACACCTGTGCAGCCGCTGACGGGCGTGAACAAGGCCAGGGAGCCAGCGCGGGACCCCGCCCGCCCCAAAATAACGCCCCTCTTGTAAGGCGGAGCCTGCAGTTACTGGTTTACAACACAGGTTGAGTTCCTGCTTCAGCTGGGCTCTTGCATGAAAATCCTAACACCGAGGGCAAGAGTGCAAACCCGTAAGTGGAAAGTTGATATTTTAGAGGATTCTAGTAACTCCAAGCACCTGAGAGCCCGGAGATGTCCCTTGTCAGCAGAGCAGCTCCCCCAGCGGGTGCGAACAGCCGTGACTTTCTTGGCTACCCTGTGACGACCCCGCCGAAATAATTCCTCGTCTCACCATTTCTACTGCCTCTGGCCTCTGACTAAGCCAACCCATCAGATTCTCCTGAGCGAATTCTAAAGTCAAACTGGAAAAGGCTCATCTATTAATAGGATGCAAGAGCGGCCTCTTCCTGTGTCGCCGTCCTGAGGATGGCACCCGAGGGGAAGGGAAACATCGCTGCGCCACCGCTTGCTGCCCGGGTACACTCCAGCGCGGGAGACGAGCAGTGGCCTCGCCCTCGTGCCGGCGCGGGTGCGGGGCTAGCAGCCCGTCTCCGAGCTGCCTTGAAGCCCAGCCAGGTCAGAGAACTAATCCAAGATGCCATTTCCGTAAGAATTTGCTCCCTGAGGTATTTCCTCTTTTCAGACAACAAATCCCCTCAAGCTGTTACAAGCACAAGAATTTACTAAGCAGTATAGATAACTCAGACTCTTTAAAAGGCTGGGAAAAGGGAGTCTAGGCTGATAGCAGAATGAGACCTGAGCCACAGAAGGGCTGCAGAGGAAGCACAGGCTTCCGTGGTCAGGAAGTTACCTGCCCCGTGAGAAAGTCTTCGTCCACGACAGCCACCTGCTCCAAGCCCACACACACCTGTAAGAGCTGGGCCTGCGCGACAGATGGCTCTCCCCACACAACTCAGCTCTGAGGCAGCCTCACACCAGTGCATCTGGTTAGAGGCGCTTTGGTTTTGTTGGAGAGCTTAGTTCAAAAGTCCAGAAAGGTTTTTAGCTCGCCAGACGCTACAGCACTAGAAAGGATTGAGAGTCCATCCTCTTCCCGTAGGGCGGTGCTAGTCTGTAAGAGGACAGCAGCGTCAGCAGACGACATGCTTTTTCACTTACCAGGATGCCCCGGAGATGTTTCTACGAGCCGTGTTCTTACTGATAGGAGCACTGAATAACTGATAGGAGCACCACCATACTTCCTTTCTGGAGGACACTGAAGTTCGCGCGTCGTCACTGTTGCCACACCGATGTGCCATCCCCGCCGCACCTGCAAGGAGACGATCTCACAGCTGACACTTGGCTTGTGTGCGCTGCTGGGCCTGAAATCAGACTCCCGGCCACGAGCCTAGTTTTCCTCGTATGTAGGTTTCCTTTCCCTGGCCCTTTTAAAGTCCGGCATGTTCCTCTCCCAAAGAGAACAGGAATTTGCTGGATGCGCGGACAACCCTGCTCTTCTCGTGCACGGAACACTTCGCATTTGGGAAACCTCAGGTGTAAAAACAGCGTTCGCTTGCTCTCACTACAGCTCCCCTGAGGCACCTGGAAAAGCCCCTAAGAGAACAGTCTTCTCCCACACTTGCGAATCATTTGTCGTAGCCGAGTGGAGTGCGTCATCTCCGAACAATGAAGAGCAACGGCCCGCAGAGGTGTCCTCTGCTTCTGACCTCACTCCACACCCAGCGCACCTACTGGCTGCCCGGCGGCAGCACCTGCAGCCCGGAGGAGCCCCACGGAGGAACATGCCCATTTGAAGCTGCTTCTAGGCAGCCAATCACTGAACATGCAATGTAGAAAATATTCTCGCGTCTACAAAATGGGGGTAAAACCTACGTTTATAATGTCCTCTATAAAGGTTCAACTGCAGCGCGCTGCTGGCGTTACAGGCGGCGTCCGCCCCGACGGCTGGAAGCTGTCTGTTGACCGGTGATCACGGAAGTGAACCTTCCCAAAGTCAGTACCTTGTCTCTAAGTGCATTCTGGATATAAACTGACCTTGATGTTTGTGTGACCCCAAAGCCCTCCCCAGCCCGGGCCCCAGCAAGTACGTAGCTGCATAAAAGCCGGGGTAGCGAAGGGAAGGAGCCACCGCAGAACCACACAGACCCGAATGTCCGAATGGCCTCGTCTCCTGAACACACCAGGCCCACTGTCCTCAGGAAGGCTGCGCCTCCCCCGGGACTGATTTGTAATCACTTCTTTAGAGACCCTCGCCTCCAAACTGTCACATTCTGAAATCCTGGGGCGTCAGGACTTCAACCTGGCGGGGGAGAGGTGCACGCCCTTAACACCCCAAGGTGTTCACAATTCAGCCCTTAACACCCCAAGATACCTTGCTTCCGAGTGCTGGTCTCCAAGATGCAGCCTGGTGATCACGTGGCAGGTTCTGCTCCTCGAGTCACAGCTGGAGTGTCTGCAGGGATGGAGAGCTGGGCCGGCTGCTGAGGAGAGGGGAGGAGCCTAGTCCCGATGGGCTCTGCCCTCTGACGTGCTGGGGCAGGCACAGCCCAGCTCAGCAAGGTTACCAGCCCCTAGCCCCGTGGGGAAGGAGCCACCAAGCTGACACGCCGGGCTGCCAGACCACCACCAAACTAGCCATAGTTTCTGGGCTTTGGCCTAGAAAACTTGTATCATGCCAGTTTTGTCTAAAAGCCAGGGCTTCTTGGGTTATCTACAGACATTTCTTTAGGACAGAAACCAGCGGTGGGCTGACCTGCAACTGAAGACATCAGCTGTGAGGCTTGCTGTACACAGCACCGTGGCCGTCCACCGTGTGAGCCGACGCGACCCCACACAGGACTATGAAGCGGGAGCGCCTATTCCTCTCCAATCGCCGTTACGTAAACAGGCATAGCGGTCACGTAACGGCTAAGGTTACAAACCATCACGCAGCAAAGCTCAGATTAGCAACCACTCGGCCCAGCTCCAGAGTCTACACTCCTAACACCCGCGTCCTGACCTGAGCCTTGGCCCAGCACAACACAGCAGCAGACGAGGCCACCTGCAACCACCCAGCAGGCTCGGTCACAGGCAGCTGCTAACTCATGCAGTTGGTGAGAATGACTTCAAATGTTCCATTGACATCTAAGAGGTAAAAAATGAAAGACAGTTGTAAATAAGCAGTAAGAGCTACATCCTCACTTAAAGTGTGCTCCAGGCGTCCCCTGTGGCTTTGGCCTGGGTTTCTGTGGACGTCAGTCCTCCCTACCTTGGACAGCCTGTCAACCAGAGTTAGGAAATGAAGAAATTTGACTCAGCATGAGCTGAGCTGAAAGCACAAAGGCAGCTCCAGCTCCAGCAGCAGCAGTTTCCTGAGAACAGGGGTGGCTGCAACCAGCAGGCCTTTAGCAAGAGGCTGAGCTCGTAGCAACCCTGAAGGAGCTCCATGGCCCTGTGTCAGCGCCTCCCCCTTCCACGGCAGACTGCCACAGTCCCCGGAGAGGCAGCAGAGTAAAGGCACGACCGCAGGAAGAGGGCAGGAGACGCCACCTGCAAACAGGCAGCGCTGCCACGCAAACAGCATCAGACTACGACCTCAAAGCACGGAGCTCAGGAAACACTTCACCTCCAACTTCAGAAAAGCTGACGTTGTACCTGATTTTCCCCAAAAAACTCATTCAGCTCCATTCTCCACAAAAAGAAATGGCAAGAAGAATCCTATATTTTAAAAAAAAGTTTTATTTTATCCTTCCTAGAGGAATACAGATTTGAATGAAATACATTCATTCCATAAATACATTAGCAGCAAAACCTTCCCAGCAGAGTCCTCTACTCCAGCCCAGAGGGGGAGCAGGAGGGAGCACGTTCCATCAGGCGCCGACACAAGGATGTTACCCTCTCGCTGAAAGCAGGCTGTGCATGTGAGACCAGGCGAAAGACCGAAGAATGGATGAGTCAGCTAAGCTGGGACACTGCACACACGTCCACGTGGTGACCATCACGCTTCCGAACCTTCTGACCCTTAGCACTCACATGCTCAGGAGTCCTGCATCTGCATCAAGCACAGCCCGGATGTTGAGCCCTGCACGTGCACCGTTGAGTTTGGAGCCACCTGTCATTGAGTCGGCAGCATTTTAATGGTGTCTCGATACTTTCAAAAGGAAAGCCAGATAGGGCCATTCCCTCCTCTCCGTAGGCGGAAGCACCGCACGGCCCGCTGAGCCCATACGCACATCTGCCAGGAGAGGAGCCTGCAGGCGCTGGCTGGTGCGCTGCACCTCCAGGACCTTTTGTCCAGGGCTGGAGGCGATACGGGAGAGACGCGTCTAACCCTACAGAGGTCGCTAAGGACCAGTAACCAGGTAACTCAGTAACTCACCCTGGCTTCCACCCAAGCTAGTTTCTTGAGCATCCTGTCTCCTTTTCTCTTCTGCATCACTATTGCCTGGCTGCTCCTTTTTTATCTGCCCCTAGGCACCTGCTGAAATCTTGGGAAGGAAGATCTACCCTAAGCTCCCTAGTACCCTGGGGAGATTAAGGCAGGTGATGCTTTAAACGTGTTAGCTGCAAAGTAACGAGCTTACACTGCTGTGTTCCGATCCGTCCTGGGATGGGTATAAATCACACTAGTCTGCAAAAAGTAAAACACCAGAATCACAAACAGCAACCAGGACAACTATGAGCAGGCACCGAGTTTAGAGAGCTACCAAGCCGAAGGGCTGGGAGGGAAGTGGAGGAATTTAAAATAAACCTGATTTGTTCGGGCAGAGGGCAGCTCTGACTCCAGCATACACACAATGGCCCAAATCGTCATGGAAATACAGAGCAGGCCTCAAAATGTGAGACTTTCCTCCCCGTAGTATCACTTAAAAATAGGACACATGCTCTCTCTTCCCCATCTGTTTCTAAAGTGTTTCACTAGCACACTCTCCAGTAAGTGCTTATCCATTCCCAGTCTGTTTTGAATGTTGGCGGGAAGAAAACCAGAAACTATGTGATATAAAAACCACTGTAGGGCCTCCCTGGTGGCGCAAGGGGTTAAGATGCAGCCTATGAAGCTGTCCGCAGCCTCTGCAGCACGAGTTCGATCCCCAGCCAGGGAGCTATGCACATGGCGCCGCAGACCTCTCCTGACCTGCCCGCTGCTCCCCTCAGCAGTGAATTTCAGTGGATCCGCCTGTTCTGCTCCCCACTGTCTCTGGTGAATCCTCTCACCCTGGCACCTCTGGCCTGTACCCCAGCTCTTGTATGCATAAATAAATAAATCTTTAAAAAAAATAAATAAAATAAAATAAAAACCATTGTGGCTAAGCGGTTATGTGTGTTTCCCCTTCTGTCTTTTCCATCCAAAATAGTTCACGGCTTTTACTTTTATTTATGCGCAGAGAGAGACTCGTCGGAATACACAGCGCTGTTAATCCGACAGTCCTCTGTCCCCAGAGGCTCTGCCAGCTCCTCCTCCTCCTCCGAGTCGTCGTCGTCCTCCTGGGCAGAGGAGCCGCAGGTGGGCCCCTTGCAGGTTTTCAGGTGCCGCGTGAGATGGTACTTGGTGAGATAAGCCTTAGTGCATTTCTCACAGACATAATCCCGCTTTCCTTCGTGTGAATTGAGATGTTTCTTTAAGTGATTTGTTCTCAGGAACAGCTTGTCACACTTGGGACACTTGATCTGGCGTTCTCTAAGAGGAACACAAGAAAGAGCATTTGGTTTGGGATTGCAGATGACACCCGAGGTAGGCACACACCCTTCACAACCTCGGCCTTTGTCAAGAGAAGTGCTACCATCTAGAATCGGACCTTTTTAAGTGGTGTGTGGCATAAAGAAGAGTCGTGAAAATTTGCCAGTTTAAAGGGCACAGACTGGGCCTGTCCTGGCATTCTACGTAAAAGGAATCATGCTGCACGTTATCCCTTACGTTTGGCTTCTTTCACTCAAAGCAATGGTTGTGAAATTCATCCACGCTGCTATGACTATTACTTAGGTTGTTCCCTTCCATTGCTCTGTGCAACTTACAAATAGGTCTTGATTCATCTGTGGTACTGCATTTATCTATTGCTAACATATTCTGGTGGTTTCCAGCACTGAGTTATCACAGGCAGAACCGCTACGGCCTGTCGGCTGCAGACGCCCAGCCTGCTCTAGGCCCCACTCCCACGCCAGTACGACTGCATCCCAGGATGTGCACAGCTGCAACCCGACCGAGTAACACTGTATTCCAGTGCGGCTGTATCAACACGCACGTCCATCAACACCATCTGCGAGTTCCTCTTGTCCCACACTTCATCAATTCAAATTTGGAAACCTGTGCCCATCCACTGCCTCACTCTGGTGAGCTGCCAGCCCTACAAACAGACATCACTCAGTTCACAATGTCAAGAGCCTTAAGCCTTGAGTAAGCCTACCTAGACGTTTAGACCTGAAAAGAGCTGTACAGAGGATGTGGCCCAGAATTCTTTACATCTGTTTCGAGCAGCTGAGCCCGATGTCTTAATGAAAGCCTCATATGCAAATCAATGAGAAGGGTGAAAATTCTTAAAGGAGTGTTAGGGACTCTGGAGCATTTCCACCACCGTCCCCAGCAGGAGGTGGCACTGCAGCCGCCTGTGATGCTACAGGATGTGGAAACCAAGTCCTTGCCTTCCTGGCGCGCTCAAGCTGCAGGAGGAGTTATACCAAGAACATATGAAAAAGATCAGGTGGCGGTTAAGTACCAGTTAATACAGAGGAAGCCAGTGACGAGAGACGGGCGCCCTATTTCAGTGAGACAGTTAGGAAAGGCTACTCTGAGGCGATGACATTTGAGCAGAAACCTGAAAGAGGAATCAGGGAGTTTCCAGGGGTACAAGTTTCTAGGCACGAGGAGCGCAGCGCACAATCCCTGAGCCTGAAGTGTGTTAGTGTGCTGCAGTGTTTGTTAACAGGAGAGCACCTGTGTAGACCCAGCGGATTATGAGGAGAAAAGTAAAAATCGATGAAGTGGGAAAGGTGTCCGAGCGCCAGGACCCGCCTCGAAGGGCCTGCAGGGCTCCGGGAGAGCCCTGGAATCCCGGGGAGCCCCCGGGGGTCCTGAGTGGAGAAAGGCACGGTGGGGTTTGTTTTTAAATGCATCGCTCTGGCCACTGTGCATGGACCACAGTGCTGCGCGCACCTGTGCCGGGCGAAGCGACCGTCTTGGTCTTTGGGAATCCAACGCTTACTCTAAAAACCGCGACGGACTGTGATACATATTTACTGGTCCATTTCTCTTACTGGGCTCTGGACTCTTTAAAGACAGGGACGGCGCCTTTCATCTCTATTTCTACCACTTAGCACTATGCTGGGCATGCAGAAGGCACTTAATAATATTTGTTAAATTAATGAAATTGTTTCAAAAATATAAAAATAAATTCAGAAAGTAGAAGTGAAAAACGATGGAAATCTTCCAAGGTAAAACTGAAAGCTTAGGTCCCCAACCACTGCTTGGCCACACGAGACGCAGGCGGCAGGGCTGGGCGCCGCAGCAGGACAGCAGCGCGCCGTCCCGCAAGCCCCGCAAGCCCTGCAGTCAGCAGGCGGCTGCTGCTGTGGGCGGACGGGGCGACTTACTGTGTGTGGATGAGCACGTGCTGCTTGAGGTCCTGCCTCCGCATGAACAGCTTGTCACAGTAATCACACTTGAGGTTCTTCTCGCCCGTGTGGATGAACATGTGGGACTCCAGGTGAGCCTTCTGGGTGAAAGACTTGTCACACAACGTGCACCTGTAGTTCTTCTGACCTGCAAGTTAACCCAAGTGACCACACTGTGAACGGAAGCACCAATGTGTCGTCAAGACCAGAGAGCAAGCCCACGGGTGTGTGGAGAGGCAGGAGGGAGACACAACTGCCAGGCTGCTGGACCTCCACTCTCGGGGCGCCACCCAGAGCCCACTGCGAGCCAGCAAACGTCACCTCCACCACCAGAGCAAGTGATGCTAGTAAATGCGACCTCCTTCCAGGACTGCTATTCTTTTTTTTAACTTTTTTTTTTTTAACATCACTGTTCATTTTTAAACAATATTTGCTTCCCCCCGCCCCCTCAGGTGCAGTCCCCATAGTTTCCTTCCCCAATGCCCCCGTGCACCATCACCCCAGGCCCCTGTGCTCCTCCCTCCCTCCCTCTGATCCCTCTCCCTCCCCCTCCCCTGCAGGATGTCTCTGATTTATAATTGTCCATTTTTGCTTTGTGGTGTTTTGTACTGTTATTATATTTTTTACACTGATGTCTTATTGGGTTCCCTATATTCCTGCTATAAGTGAAACCATCCAATATTTTTCTTTTTCCTTCTGGCTTATATCACTGAGCATAATCAGGACTGTTATTCTTAATTTTTAAAATTTATAGCTAACACATAATTTAAAAAAAAATTGTAATTTTAGCACCCAAGTTTCAATGCCCCATGAATTCTAGTGCTTGTCTATAGGCAAACACATTTTCACAACCTACATTTTAGTTTTCTTTCTTAAATATTTAATGTGACCTCATAAACCAGGGATAACATTAATTTCTTTTAAGAATGCAGAAATAAGATTACTCGAGTTGGGCTGGCACACCTTTTCTTAAAGATTAGGCAGTATTTCAATTGTGGGCCACACACTTTTAACACAACTGTGATTTCTCCATCTTAATGCAACAAGACGAGCAAGAATTTTACTTTCAAAGATTTGGAGAACAAATGAGCCAGGCAAGAAAGCTAAATCTTCATGAGCTATTTTGTAGCAGGTAGTAAAAATCTACTAGAAAAGAGAGGAACTGGTTTGCAGAGAATAGCTCAAAAAACAAATTTTGGGGGCCTCCCTGGTGGCGCAACGGTTGAGCGCTGGGTTGCGAAGCTGCCCACAGCCTCTGCAGCGCCAGTTCGATCCCCGGCTGCTCCCCGGCCACCAGAGGAGGGTCCCACATGGCGCGCAGACCTCTCCTGCCGCCCACTGCTCCCCTCAGCAGTGTACTTTGGTCCTTCTGCCTGCTCTGCTCCCCGCTCTGGCTCTGGTGAATTCTCTCACCCTCCCGCGCTTCTGACTGTACCCAGTGCTTGTATAAATAAATAAATAAATCTTAAAAAAAAAAAAAGAAAAAGAAGATTAAAAAAAAACAAAAAACAAATTTTGGTATTGAGCAAGGTCCAAAGAAGAGAAATGGGCTCTGGAGACCAGGGTGAGCACCGATGGCAACTCAGGCTACGCTGTTATAAAACACCCTTTGCTGGAAGCCATGACATGAATCAACCTCCTGATTATTAATGCATTTTCCCAGCCACCATCAAACTGTGGTGGGTGCATCTGGCGGGTGGAAGGTCTTAACAGACGGAAGTAAAACCCTCTCAGGAAGATTTACCCAGCAAAGTCCCGCTGACAGCCACCTGGATTCATTCTCTAACATCTTATCACAGCGCTACCTTCCAGATTATCTAGCGAAGAGCCTTCACTACCACCAGATTCTAACGGCTGCAAAATGGCTCTCTGATGGTGCCAAGTAACTTACCCGTATGTATTTTCAGGTGGGTGCGCAGGTTGCTAGGATCACTGAAGGCCTTGCTACAGAAATCACACTTGTGGGGCTTCATACCCATGTGTCCCATAAAGTGGACGTGAAGCTTGGAAGGAGAGATGAACGCCTGGGGGCACACTGAGCACTTCCACTTCCTTTCCTTGCTGTGGCTCGGCCTGTGGCTGCCGCTGTGGCTCTGGCTGGGGAGGTGGTTGTGGATGTGGCTGGTCAGGTGGGCTTTGAATTCTGTATAGGAACTGCACTCCTTGCCACAGTTACAGAGGTGCACATCTGGGTGTTCGGGAACACCTTAAAAAGAAAAAATAATACTCATCTTGCTATTTAAATTAAAAAATTTGTTCTTGCTAATAGTTGTTATAACTCTCCCCTCTACCAAGATTTTGCAGCTTGCCCTCTACCTGTAAAACTAAAATGTCTTGTTCAATGCTCCGTTCCCATCATGTTAAAATAGTTTCAGGCACACAGGAAGCCCTTGGGTAAATTGGATTGTAAGGCATCTTTCCTAAACAAAAAACACTTTTTACATGAATACTGCCTGGTCATAAATTCATCTTGCAAAGACACTCACAGACCATGGCACTTCTAACCCAGGGAAATAACTGCTCTGCTTTCATGTACACAAGAATAAAATAATTGCTTCCATTGACATGTAAATCATTACCAAAACTTTACTTCTGGTTCATGGTGTTTTTACTACGCTAGATTCACAACAGATAAGTCATATATTAACTTACCAATCTGCTGAGCATAATCCCGGCTGTAATAAAAAAGCAGTTCGTTTTCGGGAGGGATATCTTGTGAGGTACAAAAATAGATTTTCCCATCATGAGGATAAGCCACCAAGTTCTGCTCTTCCCGGTTCCTAGGTTATTATATTTTCAGATCAAGAGAATTAATTTTGAAATAAATACGAAATAAGTCCTACCTCCTCTAACAAAATTCTGTATGAACACTTCAACTATTTTCTCTGAGTCATTTTTGTAATTCCCTATCCTACCTACTAGGAGAGACTAATATAGAAACAGAATTCTTACTTCAGTACATAAGCTGGTTGCCCTTTACAATTAAAAATGCTAGGATGTGTTCTGTGACTGGAAACAAGAAAATAGTCTTAACTAAATAACATAAAAAAAAGAGATAGAAAGTTGAACAAGAATTAACTGTAACAGTCTGAGGGGCCGACTAACAGCCAATATAAAGAGAAGGCAGCAACTTGCAAATTCACTCATGGCTGTTACCACTCCTTACTGCGTTGGCAATAAGTAAATTGTTCATAAGAAAAGGACAATTTCTTGTGTTTTAATTTATAACCACCACTAGTCAGTATCTACTGGAGTGAAAGACACTGAAAAGCCTTAGGCCTTTAAGTCTAGAATTCTCTGGCTTTTCCTTATTTTTTTCTTTAAAGATTTATTTATTTATGCATATAAGAACTGGGGTACAGGCCAGAGGTGTGGGAAGAGGGGTATGTGTGTAAGAGGATTTACCCGAGACAGAGTGGGGAACAGAACAGGCAGACTGACTGAAACACACTGCTGAGGAGAGCAGCAGGCGAGACAGGAGAGGTCTGCTATGCCATGAGGGTCAGCTCCCTGGCCGGAGATAGAACTCATGCTGTAGTCACTGGCTATAGCTGGATAGCGCTATGACTTAACCCCTGCATCACCAGGAAGGCCCGGCTCTTCCCTATTTTATGAAAAGCTTCCTACTGAAAAAGATCTGAAGCAAAACTATTTCTTTCATCCGAGACTACTCTTACCTGGCTTTGCGCACAAACATCATCCAATTGCATTCATTCTCGTCAGTTGTAATGATGCAGAACTCTAGGACACCATTGTGGTACATCTGCCAACAAAGGGCAAACACACCTTCAAATGAACTGACAAGCCACACAAAGTTCTACTAAATTTAGACTGGCAGTGAGCTCACAGCCTTAGCAGGAGGGCCCAGCTTTCCCAGTTGGGAAGAAAATACAGGGCTGTCACATGCTTGACATTTTACTAGTTCCTCTACTTCCAGCATTACAATAAAGACCTTCAGAGACCCACATCAGTGCTCAGGATAGAGGATGGAGTTATTCTTCAACAGTCACATGTGGGCTTGACTTGTCTTCATCACTGACCAAACGGCAGCAGTGAGGGACTGAGTGGGTAGCAAGCAGAGAACCTGCTCTCATTATTGTTCCAGTGAGCCAGCATTCTTCTATGCTCTCTTTTTTGTTTTAAAGATTTTATTTAGGGCCTTCCTGGTGGCACAGCGGTTGAGCGCTGGATTGCGAAGCTGCCCGCAGCCTCTGCAGCGCCAGTTCAATCCCCGGCTGCTTCCCGGCCACTGGAGGAGGGTCCCACATGGCGCGCAGACCTCTCCTGCCGCCCACTGCTCCCCTCAGCAGTGTACTTTGGTCCTTCTGCCTGCTCTGCTCTTCGCTCTGGCTCTGGTGAATTCTCTCACCCTCCCGTGCTTCTCACTGTACCCAGTGCTTGTATAAATAAATAAAATAAGTAAATAAAAACATAACTCTTAAAAAAAAAGATTTTATTTATTTATGCATACAAGAACTGGGGTATAAGCCAAAGGTGTGGGGGATGAGAGGATTCACCAGAGACAGAGTGGGGAGCAGAACAGGCAGATCTACTGAAATAATAGATTGCTGAGGGGAGCAGCAGGCAAGTCAGGAGAGGTCTGCTGTGCGTTGCTCCCTGGCTGGCTGGGGATCGAACTTGTGCTGCAGTGACTGAGGCTAGCTTCATAGGTTGCCACCAGGGAGGCCCAATATGCTCTCTTTTGAACACCAAAATTAAAGTCCCTGATGCCAGTGGCATGTTTACAAGTTGCCACAAAATCCACATTTCTGTCACCTCAACGTTGCAGGCATCATCCCCATTCTACTAGGATCCCATGTAACATGTTATAGGAATAGCTGTTTTTGTTAACACCCTGCATTTCCAACCCCTCTCATCAGAAAGTTTGTAGTCTTAGTGTCCAATTATAAAATTATTTCCCAAGCTAATTATGTGAGGAACGTTTCAGTTGATTACAAAATAAGACCTTCACCATATAAACAAAGTCCCTAGCCTCAGCTGCCACAAGTAATTAAAATGCAGAACCATTGGTTATCTAACAAGCACAGAAAGTTTGTCTTCTCTATTTAATGCTGATGGGGTGTTTGATGTGTATTATAACTTGGTTACCAAGAACAAAAGGATATAATATTAAGTAAAGGACTGACAGGTGAATGGCACTGTATGAGTCCTGGCTAATTTTGACTATTACACCACTTTTAACTACCTCCACAAAATAAAAACATCCAAAGGTCACTCTAAGTTTGACACTGACCTTCCAGATATGGTTAACTGCCTTATCCGTCCATTCTGCGACCTCCATGGAGTGACTCTGCTGGCCAACGAGAGGCCCAAAGCAAGTCCGCACAGGAATGGTTTCTCCAGTCCATACACCTATCGGTGGAAGGACACCAACTACACAATGATTTAAACATCTAAGAGATATAGAAGAGACAGGAGCTTACACCATGCAAAAAACCCAAGAACTGCTGATACTCCAGCACTCCTAAGCAGTGACTAGTCTTAGTGGTTCTACCCTATAAATATGGACAATGAAACAAATAATACGGGGCTCAGAAGAAATACAGAATGAAAAACAGTATCAGAAGTTCCTGAACTTTGTTTTATATACAAGGAACCAGACCATCTCCCTCCAAATGTGATTTTGGAGTTAATACATAAAAAAAGGACAGAGCACATTACTATAAAAATATAAGCAATTACAACAAAGTAAATTTCTAAAATCATTAAAAGCACTGCACTCTATTTAGTGCTGAAAGCACTGCACTATGTTATCAAAATTGTTGAATGTTCTCAACTGACTGAAGTCCAAGCTACAGCTGAAAGAATAATGAATCCAGTTTCGTATTCAAAGAAATGCCACAGTAATTCAGAAAGCATGTTCAGTTCAAATATGCGTAAGCATACTCAGTAAGTCTACATTTTTATCCCTTTTTCTAAGGAATACAGGACAATTTACATTCTATCTAAATAACTTTTGTGATAAAAGGTTATCAATGGTGAATTTTCCACGCCTTTGTGAAAAAAACGAAGTTGAAAGCAGTACTTTGTCATGGTAATTGTTAGTGAATGATATAGCTGAGAATAAAAGTCTTCAAAAAGTTGGACTAGGATTCTTACCTCTATTCAATTCTGATTCAAGAAAGGGGAACCTGATCAATAAACTTTTCAACTTCACTTATTGCTCTCTCTGGACAAGACAAATGGTAAGCCATAAGGTGACTCTGAGTCAGCCAAATAATCACTAAATTATACACATCCACTTTTACAACTCTACCCCACAAAGAGGAGACTGGATGGGGTTTCATGGCTGCTGGTTCTTACCAACTTCTGCTCCCACAATTGACTGGCGGAGAACAAGCTGCTTTGGGAGAGAAAGTCTCGCTCTGCTCTCTACTGGAGTGTCAGGAACAAACGTTACTGGTCCATGATCGGGGCAGTCTGAGGGATAGGCTCGGTCACAGAGTGTACACCCTATGGATGAGAAATAGGAGAGACACAAGTGGGTTTAGTTCAAGCAAGCTAAATTATCTCCTGCTCTTACATGTAAATGCTAATTGTAAAATGTAACCAGTAGGAAGGAAGGTTCTAGCAGAAATACTCTGGTCAAAGAATGACTTTCTTACACTAAGACATATGTCCCCTCCTATCTCTCTCCTTAGCAAGATCTGATTTTTGTCTTTTGATCCAAAGGGACACGCTTCCTATATAGTGCCTAAGAGAAAGACTGATCCAAAAAACACATTACTTTGAAGATCAAGCACGTGATTCCTTACATGAAGCAGGTAAGTAATACCTTCAGATATGGTGTGGAACACACCAGCAATTCCAAGTCTACCAAACAGTTAGGGGAAACTGAGTTGAAAATGCTGCTAGTCAGGCGAAGCCAGAACAGAGAGGACATTGAGGACATGTAGTCAGAGCTAGGTACACTGCTGTTCTGTTTCACTACAAACCACTGGTCAACCAGCTTTTGGTGACAGATTCAACAAATAAAAACTTGCAGCCTTTTGGGAGGCAGGTGGAACCTTATCATTGCAGACATATTTGCTTTAAAATTCTTAATTTCTTTCTGTTCATTTTGGTCTTTTTTTTTTTGCACCATCAGAAAGGGTGCTAACTTCATATACTCTGTACTTACTAAAATATCACTTTCATAAGCTCCAAAGTGTCCTCCCATAAAGCTTTATTCTTTTACTTTCCTTTCTATTTAGAAGTATATTCATAGCCCTAATTGTCAATAATTGAGTTCAAACTCTCCAAATTTATTCACAAAGTGGTTGAAATACTTAAACCTTAGAACCACATGCATCTAAGTGTCTTTATTCCCTAATCAATGTTAGAAATTTCTACTTAAATGGCATAAAGTATCAGCATATTTTGATACTTAGGTAAAACAGGAACATATTACTTCTCCAACTGTTACTTGAGAATTTTTGGAATATCAGATTAGTGATTCCCTAAAATTTATTCTCCATTGCATTTAACAAGGAGAATCACTTCCAGACAAAGGAGATTCACACATACTATAAAAACTGTTTATAGTTTTCTGCAAAGAAACACAAATGGCCAATAAGTACATGTAAACATGTTCAACATGGATAGTCATTCATCAAAAGCACAATGAGATGCCAGTTCACATCCACCAGGGCAGCTATAAGAAGTGGTGGCAAAGAGGTGGGGAGACTGGACCCCGCCAACACTGATGCTGGGAATGTAAAATGGCATGGTCATTGTAGAAAAACAGCCTGGCAGTTCCTCAACAAGTTAAACATAGAGCAATTCCAAGCCCAGATTTCCGAGGATATTAAAAACTGTTCACATAGAAACATGTAAGTGAACGTTCACAGCAACATTATTGATAGCCAAAAAGGAGAAACCACCAAATGCTCATCAACTCTAAATGGATAAACACAACGTGGTGCGTCCACATCCGAGCGCAGTACTTCAACACAATGCGCTGTGACGCAGCCGTACAGGAGGGAAGTATAGTCAATCACCACTTCGTGACTGGGGTGTGCTGAGAAAGGCATCGTGAAGCAGTTTCTAGCTGTGCAAATGCCAGGGTGTGATTAACGAGTGTGGTAGGCCAAGCCTGCTCCTCGGCATGAAGAGACAGAGCAGAGCCTGCAGGTACACCCGTCACACATGCATCCACCGTGACCCCTGACTGCACTGGCACAACATGGATGCACATGACGACATGAAGCTAAAGGAAAGATACCGGGTATAGAAACGACATAGCATGTGACTCCACTTATCTATCTAAAATGAAGAGAATAGGTGAATCCATAGCACTCCAAAGTAGACTAGCTGTTGCCTAAGAACGGGGGAGCAATAAGAGGGGGAGGTAGGGGCAACAGACTGCACTTTGCCCACTTAAGCAAAGGATCAATAAGCTTATTCAGGCCACCTGTTATCTTCTGCTAAATTAATGGCCTACATTGATTATATTTCTAAATTAAAATATTTAAAAATTATAGAGAGACTATTTTGTTTAAAGATTTATTTATTTATGCATACAAGAACTGGGTACAGGCCAGAGGTGTAGGGGGTGAGAGGAGTCACCAGAGACAGAGTGGGGAGCAGAACAGGCAGATCTACTGAAATACACTGCCGAGGGGAGCAGCGGGAGCGTCAGGAGAGGTCTGCTGCGCCATGTGGGTTGCTCCCTGGCCAGGGATCAAACTTGTGCTGCAGTGGCTGTGGATAATTTCATAGTTTGCATCTTAACCACTTGCGCCGCCAGGGAGACCTGAGACTTTAAAGGTTAAGACCTGAGACTAGCAAAGGTCTCCCCACTGCTGAGCATACACAGAAGCTTCCTCCTACTTTTTGCATATTCCTGCTTTGGAAGCTTTCCCTCTGCTGATCTTAATATTCCCGCTTGTCATTCCAAACTCTTACTAGAAGATGATTTCACCCCACTTTTATGGTCAAGATTAACATGCACTCCTAATGCTGAGGATCCCTAAATATTTCCAGATAGTGCTCTGGACTTAGGATTCAGCTTGTCATTAAGTAGCTCTACTGGCACCTTAGACACTGAAATCATGTCTAAACCTATCAGACCTCAAACACTAGTCTGTTCCTCCACCACTCACTATTCTAAGGATCCATTATTTACCTAGTTTCCGTGTGCCAGAAACCAGGATTTTCTCCGTAAACCTGCCTCTTCCAAATGCATCTGATCAACAAGTTCCACTGAATTTGTAAACATCCTCCACTTTTCTTTATCTTTATCACCTCTACTCTTGTTGAGAGGATCATCACCTTTCACTTAGATTTAGCACCATCTTGCCGGTTTACTTGACTGCAACAAGCCAGTTATCCTTGCAATGCAGCATGACCCCTACCCCCACCCTCATTCCTTAAGATCCTTGACTGGTCTTAGAAGACCTTTAAGTTCTGGCTCCTACTTCTCTCACATCCATACCCCTCTGCTCACCCCATTTTGGTTCAAAAATTCTGAACCACGCGATTCTTTGTTGTAAGTACTTACTGTGTGCCTAGACACCACTCTTCCCGATTCTCAACTGCCGACACCTATGTCCTTCTAGTCTGTGCTAACGTGTATGTTGCTTCCACTGTGTCTTTCCTTCCCTTTCCACAGCCTGGTTAGCAGCTCCCCCAGATTCCCTTAAGCTCCCTGCACTTAATCCCTTATCATGGGGTGCAGAAATGGCCTGTTCAGGACCTAGGCTTCCCATTAGACTGTAAGTTTCTAAAAAGCCTGTGCTGGACCTCGCAGCCACTTATCCCCCAACATCTAGCAGAGGCTGGCATACAGTTAGCACTCAACACATCGCCTGCATGAATGGAGCCTATAGGGACACCAACAAATCAACTATTTATAACCAACTGCTAAACTGCCCCATTAAAAAGAACTCCACCATGCCCACTATGGTAACTTACGTACATTCTGAGCCAAAAAAACAAAAACAAAAATCACGCTTGCATTCACCTGCATGTCTCCATTCGATATCCATGATCAAATCAATTTTATCTTAGGCTGAAAAAGCACAAGGCATATCACACAGAATACCTTAGGAAAGTTTACCCCTATCATTAACTATTTGCAAAACTTGGGAAAGACCTTAAACAGTATTGCGCTAAGCTTATCTGTAAAATATAGAAATGACATTTCTTTACTTCAGAAGAGGCAGTAAGAACCAGTGAAATGTTATATAGCATTTGGTTAACTTAAATGTATCACGTTAAGATAAAGGACAACACAAAGGCACAGAACAATTCCAAAGTGTAGCTACTTTCTACACGCGCTTAATCCACACCTGACTTTGTGATAAGCCTGTCAGGGATGAGGCCATTTCTACCAGTATTTCCAAAATGAAAAAGGCTAAACACACTCACAAATTGTAAACAAGGTTGCCATATTTTCCTTGTTTGAATTGGAGTCTTCCATTTGCAGTGCAGGTGGTACAAAGGAAAGACTGTCTGCAGACACATCTACATGACCTGTCCCCATAGCAACCTCCTGGGTGATGGAGGAGACAGCCACAGGTTCTAGGCTTAGGCCAACTTCATGGAGGGAAACGGACTCTAGGGAGGCGAGGTTGTGTGAGGTAGAGAGTGCCACGCTTACAGAGTTGGTGCTCATGGCCACGGTGTGGATGGAGTCACTGAGGGCACTGTCAGACATCCCGCTGACGCGACTTGCAATGGGGTCCGTCTCCATAACCACAGGGAGCTCCAGGCCATTCCCATGAATGGGTATCACACCCCCGTGTCCCACTGTGTCTGCTGCAAGGCTGCTGCTCACAGAGTCCACAGACAGAGGTTCGTGACTTCTGGAGCCATTTGGGATTTGGGCATGCTCGCCTGCCACGCCCTCCATCGTAAGCTCTTCTGTCATTCCATCTGTAGAGATTGGGCTGGCGACCCTAGAGACATTCTCCATCGTGATTGTTGTGTCCAGAGCCACCTCGTGGCCATCACTCGCGTGAAGAGCTTGGGCGCCATGTGTGTTCACAGAGCGAGAGTCTATTGAAACAATGCCCGGTTCTAAGCCAACATTTCCACTGGACTGGTAGGGATCTAGTGCTGAAGGGTTATTGGCGATAGACAGTGCTGTATTACCATCCACGTTTATGGAGTTGGGGTGGATGTACTGAGGAGGTGGCCTGTCAGCTAAGTAAGATAAAATGCCTGCGGAAAGGAAAAGAGATATCAAGGACTTTTTAGTACATTGTTAAATAGAAAAAAATTCCGAATGCCAGAAATTTTTAAAATATTTTCCTTATAACTAAATCGCTCACCTATTTCTTAGGTTTAAGGAATATGTACACTATATAAATAACTGTAATTGAGTTATTCATGTGAAACTCAAATTGTAAAAAATTAACTATATTCCTTTGAAGTGGACTGAAAATTAATCATTTCACACTGCTACTGAAATAGACATGGCTGGAATTCCCAAGTCCTAAATGCTGAAATTTACTCTAGTAAGAGCTAAAAAGTAAAATGATTTAAAAACAGACCATCCATATGAAAAACAAAATTAAATGTTTCAAATTATTAAATTAGTGTTAACATATTAGGGTCTATTTTTATGAAAAGTCATAATTATACCTGCTTTATTTTATTTTTTAAGATTTATTTATTTATCCATACAAGAATGGGGGTACAATCCAGAGATGCAGGGGGTGAGAGGATTCACCAGAGACAGAGTGGGGAGCAGAACAGGCAGATCTACTGAAATTCACTGCTGAGGGGAACAGCAGGTGAGACAGGAGAGGTCTGCTGTGCCATGTGGTTGCTCAAACTCGTGCTGCAGAGGTTGCAGTTAGCCTCATAGGTTGAGTCTTAACCCCTTGCACCACCAGGGAGGGCCTACACCAGCTTTATTAAAAAATATTTGAACACTGTTGCTTATTAAGGATGTGGTGAAATGTACTTGCTGCACTGCCAGTGGGAATATAAATTAGTAAAACCTCTTTGGAAGCTTAGAAGCTCTCTCTATATATTAAACACTCAAAAACATTCATACTCTATTGCATAAGAAATTTCACATATAATAATCTTTCCTAAGTACATATTGCAAATATAAACACAAAGACATTCATAAGGGCATTAACTGTAATGGTAACGAAAGCTGGAGGAAACAATGAAAGACAAAATCAATAATGATTGATGTAATAAGCAATGGAATATCCATTTTGTATAATGCATCATTAAAAAAGAATAAAAAACATACAGCTGCAAGGGAAAATAAGTGTAAAAACAGAGAAAAATATTAAGTGAAAAAGGATACAGAATTGTATAAAAGTATAGTCATACTAAACATACATCAAAATAAAAGAACACCTAAAAGATGGATGATGGGATTTTAAGTGGTTCCCCTCCCTCCTTATTTAAGTTTTCTGAAATGAATACACAATATGTTTATAACTGAATAAAAATTCAATTAATTTATAGCAAATAATGACATTGTAACAGGACATATGGTTGACAGGAATAATAACTGCAGAATTATAAAAACTGAACCAAGGAGATGGAGGAGGAGAAAATCTGTTATGCACCACTAAGAAATGGAGCTCAGTCAAGCTATTTAACATGTTACCTACACATTCTAAGTGGAAAAGTGCATAAATACAAAGATTTATTTCCTACCTGAAGAGAGAGAGAAAGCATTACTCAAGTCTTTAAGAATTGAGGTCAAGTGTCAGCTCCATTCTTTCTTCGAATAACCGCAATACTTACCAGGTAGAATGGTTCTAAAGTAACTGCTCTCCAGGTGGGGGTAAGGTGGTGGAGGTAGGGTGTAGTTTCTTTCAGGCAGCCCACACATCACCCCTCGATCCCCAATGCCCATCGGGAGCATCAGCGACAAAGCAGAAGGCAGAGAGCTCAGGGAGGGACCCAGATTTGGAATTGCCACTGGCAGGCCTATGGAAAAAAAACACATTTTTTTCAATAAAAGGAAATTAAGTACTTAAAACTCTCTCCATACACTGGCGAGACTCTTAGAAAGGTTTTGCATAGGGGCAAAAATCTCACCTAGTAGCCCTTTACACGCCCCCAGACACTGCTCTGCAGACACCCAGAACTAAAGCAGCCCTGGTCCTGGAGCTAGTTCTCAAGTTAGCTGTAAAAGGCCAAGTGGAGAGTAAAAGTGTAACCTCCAAGTTACACAGACATGGAAACACCAACCAATTTAATAATAAAATAATAAAATGCCAAGTTGATCCTCCAGTGGGCTACACTGTCCATACGTAGCTAAACATTTTAAAACAACTAATAACCTCACTTAATTAAAGATGACTTAAGAAAACAATCGGCCTATGAGTTGTGGTATTACAGACTTCATTATATTTTCAATGTTATATGGTAAGAATGTTTCACTTTTAAATAATTCATAGATGGCATGCTACTTGGAAAATAATCTAAAGTTAGATGTAAAGCTGTGCTTATCTTTTTTCATACACTCTTTCCCCACATAGTAGAACACAAAGCTCAATGCCTCATGCTTTCTGGGAACATCTGCTGTAGTGCAGGTTCTCTTCTGCTAACTTGGGGACAGTGTGCCAAAGGGGGCGACGAATTGAACAGGTAATCCTAGATGAGTCAGTGATGGCACTAGGCAAAGACCACAAACCCAAGAAAACAATCAGGAAAAACTGCCACTCCTATCCACTACCGTGCCAGCACGCCACAAACAACGTTTTCTCCTATTAGGATACCATATGGAACCACCATTCAGACCCGCTTGCTTTCTCCTTTTTACTCTTAAAGGGGTTCTCACCCCCTCTATGCTCCTTCGAAAAATGAAAGTAGGTAAGTTCTAGAATTCATTCACCCTCCCTCACCACTCACCGGGGGCAGGGATGGCACTGTGAGTGGGTGAAGCAGCCAGCCCCAGGTGACTCCCGGAGACAGGCAAGGCATTGCTCACGGAGGATGACGTCAGCTGCTCCATCCCCACTGGGCTCAGGTTCATTTCATTCATCCTAAGAAAGAGCAAACACAACTAGTCAAGCAGAGAGTTATTCCACGACCCCACGGAAGGCACTGGGGAACCCGAAGCAGCGGTGGCAGGGAAATGGGACTTGACCAACTATTTACTTCACTTTCACATGCACAGCTCTAAGGCAGCTGGTACCATTTTCTTTCTACTAATAAGGAAACTGGAATCAGGGATGGTAACCAGCTCAGTCAACTTCAGAGAGCAGAAGCTGGATTTAACACGGGTGCTCCTTGTTCCGAGCCCCCTGCACACTGAGACGAAGCCTGCACTCCTTGGAGCGCACTGGCAATGAGGCTTTGTTTTTTAAACTCGCCCAAGTTTTTTCTTTCACAGTATTCATTTTCTCCAACTGGCCTATAATTTCCAACCAGAGCTTTCACAGACAACTTGTTTTAACCTACTCAAAGAATTTTTAAGATTCTTTTTACCAGGAGTTAAAGTGATTATGGGTTGAAGCAGCACCTTATTTTCTTCTCCATGGATCAAGGTATTATTAAAATTCTGCTCCAATATCTTAATAACTAACCAATAATCACAATATCCTCCACATATCCAGGTCATGAAGCTTTGCTAGATACTTCACGAAAAATTACTTCATATTTTTACCAATTCCTCAAAATAAGATCGATGAGGAGACTGAGGCTCAACAAAGGCATGTTATAAGCCCCGAATCACACAATTTAAAGGAAGAACAAAGGGCCTCCCCTGGTGGCACAGTGGTTGAGTGCTAGGCTGCAAAGCTACCCACAGCCTCTGCAGTGCTGGTTCGATGCCGGCGACGGTCCCACACAGCGCACAGACCTCTCCTGCCGCACCCGCTGCTCCCCTCAGCAGTGTACTTTGGTCCTTCTGCCTGCTCTGCTCCCTGCTCTGGCGAATTCTCTCACCCTCCCGCGCTTCTGACTGTACCCAGTGCTTGTATAAATCAATCAATCAATCTTAAAAAAAAAAAAAAAGAAATCCAAGCTTTTAATTACAATTAGAAAAAGCTGATTACAATGTAAAAACAAACCAAAAAAACCATGGTGCCTTTTATACAGCTCCAGTGTATCCTGGAGTATGTTCACAGAGCCCCATATTGCATTTTTCTATATCAACAGTCTTCAACATTCTCCCTGGCTAGGTATCTCATAAAACTAAACTCCCAAGTATTCATAAATGGTGGGAGGCCAGCTGAGCACGTCATCGCCCATGGAGTAGGCTCTCTGAAATATCTGATTTGGGTGGGGCAATACAAACTCATCCTCACCAGAAAGACAACTAGGCGCACATGGCAATGCAGTATATACCTTATAAAGCACAGCATATTATTAACAGTAGTTAATTGTACTGTAAAAGAATGAAAAAACTCTTAGGAGTCTAAAGAGAGAATCCTACATTAATTTTGAAAGTTTCTGGGTTTGAGCCTCCCGGGTGGCGCAAGGGGTTAAATACAGCACTATGAAGCTATCCGCAGTCTCTGCAGCACGAGTTTGATCCCAGGCCTGCCAGGGAGCAACCCACATGGTGCAGCAGACCTCTCTTGTCTCGCCTACTGCTCCCCTCAGCAGTTTTTTCAGTATATCTGCCTGTTCTGTTCCCCACTCTGTCTCTGGTGAATCCTCTCACTACCCGCCTCCACACCTCTGTCCTGCACCCCAGCTCTTTTATGCATAAATAAATTAAATCTTTAAAAAAAAAAAAGTTTCTGAGTTTGGGTTGGTTTAAAGCATACTTGCCCTGTAACTTTCTATATCTACAAACATAACTAAAACTCTACAATCACTGACTGCAGTAATGACCTACAACAAATTGGCTCCAATATTTCTCTCAAAGTACAATGAAAAGTCTACAGCATCAAATCCCATTCTGAAGACTCCTGAGTATCAATCTGTTTGCTAATCTAGAGATAAAAATCAAAACAGTTTCTGGGTTGACTCACAGGCCTTTTCAAACCAGTTCAAACCAGAGTTTAATGCAATAGACTCAGCAGATTTCTGCTTTGTTGTCAGTCCCTGATAAGTGGTGACCTCAGCAGCCACAAACCAAAAAAAGGTAACCAGTATCCCACAAAGACAGATAAAAGGAATTTGCCCTGTGAGCCTCATTAGATTTTCTCATTCTAAAGTGCAATTCTGTAGTACTGTCAGGTGGGATTCCAGGAAGGGTCTTGGGAGAGAGGAAGGTCAGAATCAAGGCACTGTTGTTACTGGTCATATCACCTGTGTGGTGTTCAGAAAGCCAGACTCCAAACCACAGGTTGTTTCTCCAAAGAAAGCATTTTTATAGCAAGGGGCACCACTTTGGGAGGACAGCAGTGTCTGTTCTCAGAAAAGGTTGCCTCCCCAGTGGCAAGTGAAGGAAGATTATATGGGAAAGAAAAGGCCATGGGAATAAGCAGGCGTGGGGAATTTCTTCCCCTCGGGTGTTCTTCAGGAACTAATATTATCAGCACCTCTGAAGGAACAGAAATAGCTTATGAGGGCCTCCCTCATGGCACAGGGGTTAAAGACAGCACTATCAAGCTACCGCCAGCCACTGCAGCACCAGTTCTATTCCCAGGCAGGGAGCTGACTCACATGGCACAGCAGACCTCTCCTGACATGCCTGCTGCTCACCTCAGCAGTGTATTTCAGCAGATCTGCCTGTTTTGCTCCCCACTCTGTCTCTGGTGAATCCTCTCATTCACCCCCCCCCCACAAACCTCTGGCTTACACCCTAGTTCTTATATGCATAAACTAAATCTTTAAAAAAAAAATAGCTTATTAAGCATTAGGCAACCCGTGACTGTAGTCCTGAGGGCTGCAGTGGCTTCTAAGGCAGGGGTGATGTTCTGGGTTCAGGCCCACCAGTGCCACTATGCTCTGTCCCCTACTTCCTGGTCGTACATCATTTCTTCACACTTCTGCAGAGTGGATCTAACTGAACTAAGTAGGGACATGTGCAGCTGCTGCTGTTACAACTCTTAGAATGACACAGAAGCAACTAACTCAAATGCAAGGGGGAGTTCAATAGTTCCAAAGAATTCTTTTTACTTTCCTTATTGTAAACATATGGCCGATGAAAGAACCCTACAAGGGTGGCCAAACATAACTACTTGGCATATGGCTGTGCTGTCCTGACATGGCACCGTAAAGAACCTGAAACGTTAGCACGAAGCCTGCAGAACTAAGGTCGGCAAAATTTTCTCTACATCACCAAGCCAGCCAGAAGGTCACCAGCAAAATTCACAGTGAAACACGCTCAGGAGCTAAAAATACACTCTGGAACCCAGATAAAGATACTACTAGACGCTTAAATAACTCAAAAGCAGAGTTAGTGGTGTCCACCAGCCAACAACCCTCGTGCAGCTATTTGGAACAACTATTCACATTTGGAGTAAATTAGGTTGAGTAAGAGCAGCCTCAACCCAGCAGCAGTTTCTGGATTCCTCCTTCCCTTTGGGGCACCAACCTGCAAACCACACTTGCAGCCTCCCCAAACGCAACAAAAACAAAGGCACCCCGAACTCTCTTTGCCAGCTGTTTCCCAAAGACGCCGGCCTCCCAGCTCCTCACCTGCGATGCATCTGCTTGGGGCCAAAGTGTCAGAGAAAAGGGCACCCGGGGGGCGGGGGACCGGCATCAGGGGTGGCGTTCCGGGGTCACGCGCCGCGCATCTTGCTCACAACCGCGGCACGGACGCGGCCGCTCGTCGCTGGGGCCTCCCGGGGCCGCACCGCCTCACCCGAAGGCCCGCGGCCGAGCACCCCGCCGCGGGACGGGGCATGCTGGGGGGCACCCGGGGCCGCTCCTCCAGGGGCTTCGGGAGGGGGACGCCCAAGCTGCGGGGGCAGGAGGGGGACAGGGCCGGTCAGCACCAGCACCGCCGAGGGTGCGCCCCGAGCCCCGCCGCCTCCCCGGGGCGCCCGCGCACCCGCCGCCCGCCCGGGGCCCGCAGGCCGCGCCGCTCCCGCCCCGCCCCGGCCGGGCCGGGCCCGCGCGCAGCCCACCTGCCGGGGCGCCGGGAGCGCGAGCCTGTGCCCCCGCCCGTCCCCCCGCTTTGTTCCTCATCCGGGCAGCGCTCGCCTCGGGCCCGCCCCGCCGGCTCGACCCCGCGCCCCGGGGCCGCTCGCCCCAGGTTCCCCGCCCGGCCCGCCGCCCCCTCAGGGCCGCACCCTCCGAGGCGCGCTTCCGGCTGCGGAGCCTCTCGGGGCGCCGCCGCTCCACCCCGCGTGCGTGCGCCCCTCCCCGGCGCGCTCGGCCCGCGGCACCCGCGCCCCGGCGCGCCCCGCCCCCGCCGCGACCCTCCCGCGCGTGCGCACCGCGGGCCCGGCACGCGCTCGGCCCGACGCGCGGCGTCCGCGGCGTCCGCAGGGAGTCGAGCGCCGCGCAATCGACCCGCCGTTGCTAGGCAACCAGGGCTGCGGAGCACGCGAGGAGTTCTGAGGCCCTTAAGGGCCCCGGACGCAGCGTTCGCGTGTTGTTGGCGTTCTGCGACGAGGACAGCGGGGGTCCGCGGAAGCCCACGGGATTCGAACCAAGGGACGGAGCCCGAGATGTTGATGAGGTTACCCAGCGGGACTGGGGAGTGTATCTCGAACGCTTTTTCCCCATTTGCACCTGAAGTTTGCCCAGTTTCCCTGCTTCAAGCTGGAAAAAATTCCCTGCTCCTTCTCTCTTTGCCCTTCTTTCCTTCCTGAAGCCAGGCACTGTGCTAAACCCTAGAGATACCGTGATAGTTTTAAAGGAAAATGCTCCAAAGCGCTCGAAGACTGAACAGACACTGCAACACACTGGCTGAAAGCTTCCTAGGGCAGCGAGAGTCCCAAGAATTCCTTCTTTTATTTAGGAAACATTGAGTGTGAAACACATAGTGACTTTTCTGGGAACCCCCTCCTTGGCCTGGTAGACAAGGGAGCAAAGGATCGGCCTAGGCTTAAAGTCAGAACAGGTTTTGTGACGTAAACGATGCAGATTGAGTTGCCAGGAGGTAACACAGCCTTTCAGTCTCCACTAATGACCAAGGAGCCAGCTGAGGACGGTTTTAACAACAGGTACTTGTGCTTTCGGTCTCCACAGTACATTCTTTAGAAGCCAGGAAAATTACTAAGCCCCCTCCCCTCCAACCTTTGCCCTCTTCTGCGAATAGATAGCATCTACATGTCTTTAGGTCAAAATAACAGAAAATAGAAACATCTAAATTTACAGACAGAAAAACAGAAACCTCTGTCAAGAATAATTACATCTTGGGCCTCTCTGGTGGCGCAAGGGGTTAAGCACAGCACTATGAAGCTGTCCGCAGCCTCTGCGGCACTAGTTCAATCCCCTGCCTGCCAGGGATTGAACAGCAGACCCACATGACACAGCAGGCCTCTCCTGTCTCACCTGCTGCTCCCCTCAGCAGTGTATTTCAGTTAGTCTACCTGTTCTGCTCCCCACTCTGTCTCTGGTGAATTCTCTCACCCACCCACACTTCTGGCCTGTACCCCAGCTCTTGTATGCATAAATAAATCTTTAAAAAAGAAAAAAAGAAAAATCTTGGGCCTCCCTGGTGGTGCAGGGGTTAAAGGCAGAGCTATCAAGCTATAGTCAGCCACTGCAAGCCACTGCAACATCAGTTTCATCCCTGGCCAGGGAGCTAACCCACATGGCGCAGCAGAGACCTCACCTGTATGGCCGACTGCTCCCCTCAGCAGTGTGTTTCAGTCAGTCTGCCTTTTTTTCTCCCCACTCCCTCTCTGGTGACTCCTTTCACGCCCCCCCCCCACCCACACACACCCACACCCCTCCACACCTAAGTTCTTGTATGCATAAATAAATACATCTTTTTATAAAAATTACATCTTTAACATTAAGAAATCATTGTTCCTTTTCTTCTTCTACACCAGTGCTACTCTGGAACCACGTATATAAACTGAATTCAAACTTACCTTGTTAGAGAAGCTTGCACAGGAAAATGGAGAGGGTCCCAATTCTCCTCTCCATTATCTAGTAAACTCTGTCTAATTATCACTGGGACCTCTGTTTCAGTCAACAACTGAATTACATTTCAAGCATAAGACAGATACAAAATCACATTTTGGAGGAGAGCCAGGAATGATATCAATTCACGTTTGCCTTCCTTTATTTCTCAGAAAGAGAAAGCACATTCAAAATGAGGGCACTAATCACTGGATATTGATTGTCAGGTCACATTGGTTTTGTTTTCTTGTTGACAACAAATAGAAATCTATATCCAAGAAGTCATCATATCACAATTAAGTGAAAGCCAGGAAAATACCACTTCAGTACTAGGACCTACAGAATGATGATGTGTCTGATAAAAGGTTGAATTATTTCACTGGTTTTCCATGTCTATTTTTTATGAACAATTTTATTAATTTCAGAAGCATCTGTAAAAATCAGGTCAGATAAATTGTAAGAATGAAAATTACAATACTTACAATAGAAAATATAAAAGAAACTGTCACCTTGCTAGGATACAAAAGTCAGGAACGACTAAACAACTGACAAATCAAACTTCATCAGAATTAAAACTTGTAGTCTTCAAAAGATACTGTCAACAAAATGAAGTCAAGCCAGACATGGGGGGAGGAAAAAATGTGCAAAACAAATATCTGAAAAGGACTTGTATCTAAAAATATCTAAAGAGGGCCTCCCCTGGTGGTGCAGGTGGTTGAGCGCCACGCTGTGAAGCTGTCCGCAGCCTCTGCAACGCCGGTTCAATCCCGGCCTCGATCCCTGCCAGCCGGCGAGGGTCCCACATGGCATGGCAGACCTCTCCTGTCGCACCCGCTGCTCCCCTCAGTAGTGTATTTCATCAGTCTGCCTGTTCTGTTCCCCACTCTGTCTCTGGTGAATCCTCTCACCCTCCTACACATCTGGCCTGTACCCCAGTTCTTGTATAAATAAATAAATCTTTTTAAAAAAATAAAAATATATAAAGAATGCTTTAACTCAATAAGGCAAACAACCCAATTTTTTTAATGGGCAAAATATTTAAATAGCCACATCACCAATGGCTGACAATGGATGGCAATGAAGCACACATAAAGATGACCAACATCAGTTATTAGAGAAAAGCAAATCAAAACCCAATGAGGTAACATTACATACCCACTAGCACAGTTAGGTACTCAATAAAGAGCTGATGAATGAAAGAAAGCCAAATAGGCATAATTCAAAGCTATACTTAATGATTCACATGTCTATTTACTTGGAGACATACAGCAAAATGAATGCCCAAAGACTAACTACAAAGCTAATTTAGGGTAACACGCCACTTTGAGGAAATAGCGACTTACCATTAAGACAATAAAAACTGGGAGGATTACTGCTCCATCAGTAATCCTTTTCAAGTAGAAATGAAAAGCATAGGTGTCCTTTTAAAACCCAAGTATTAGAACGGTGAAGGAAAGATGTAGGGCTGCAATCAAGCACAGATGTCAGAGAGATCTGTATATAAGAAAAACCCAATAATAGCCGTCAGCATGTTTGCTCAATGGCAAGGGTAGATGCAAGGGGAAAGTTACCTTTAAACATTATTGTCTAGCCCTGAAACAAGGACAGTAACAGGTAAATTGGGACCTGGATTGGGCTGCTTAAGATATCTTTCTTTCAATTGACTCTAATTAAGGCTTCAGATCCTGCTTCTGATCTCTTATGTTAAAGAGGGCCTGGAAATCTGATTTTTTTAAGAGGGTAAACCTGTTCTTTGGCATTCTTGGACTTCTCCCCCATAAACCTAATACAAAGAAAATTTATTATACTAGATTCTCATGGACTTGTTGCTTTATTTGATATTTGCAGAAAGGCATGGGGACGCTAGCATTCATTCAGCAAACATTCATTAAATGCCTACTATGTGCCAGGCCTTGTTCTAGGTACTGGGAATATAGCAATAAGCTAAAAGAAACCCCCGCCCCCTTAAAAAAAAAAAACAAAACTCACCAGTCTTTATGGAGCTTACATTAAAATGGAGGAAGACAGAAAATAAGTAAATAAAGTATAGAATACTCCAGGCAGCAAACAATACCATGAAAAAGAGTATGGCGGGCAAGATAGAAAATGCTTGGAGATGGAGACTATAATTTTAAACATGGCAGTCATCAGTGAAACCAAAGAGGTGAGGGAGCACTCCATGTGGACATCTAGAAGAAGAATGTTTCAGGCAGAGGGAAGGAAGGAAAAATGCAAAGGCCTCAAAGCAGAACACCTGACAAGTTTGAGGAGTTGCAAGGGCGTTAGGAACACTAGAACTGTAACAGGGTGGTCCCCAGGAAAGGGGGAGGTTCCCTGCCCCCACCCAAGGGAGGGTGGAGCTGAGCAGGAAGAGGAGAAGCTGAAGAAGAGACTGAGGAAGGAAGCAGGATGGAGCCAGGAGACCTGGAGGAGGCGCATGGAGCCTAGAGACACGTGAAGAAACTGCGCTTGTCTTTTGGTCGTGGACTGGGTGACACAGATGTGGGTGAGACCCATGGGGAGGTGACAATGGCAGCTTTTATCTGGATGTTGATTTTGCTCTTTTCCTTCCGGGCTTGTCCGGTTGTTTGTGACCCTTTTCTGTGGGTCCCCACGGGAAGATGCTTTAGACTTGTGGCAGGCTTTGGGGCCTTGCTCTGGGCCGACCCCATATGGATGGAGTTTTACCCACGAGGGGACGGGTAACTTTGGGTGCTTCATTTAGAAACTAGACTCTTTGCCTCACCTGTATTGTTTCCTAGTTTTTATTAAAGATCCTTCCCATTAAAGTGTCATATGTTTTGTGTTGATGCGGCGGATGGCAGAACCCATCTAGAATAGGCAGGTTTGCGGGGTTTGGGCTGCCCCTCTCCCTGTCCTATAACAGAACTACCAATGGCAGCCCTGGTCCTGTCATTACTGAGCACTTGAAATGTGGCTAGTTCAAATCATGTAATTATTTTAGCATGGGAGAACAAAATAGAATGAATGTGTTAATGGCCCCAATTCTCCATTCCTTTCCATAATAATGCCTGCGAGGTGACTTCACAGTGCATCCCAGGAAGAGGTGGAGTGGGTTTTATTTTCTTTTTTTTCTGCCTTTTGATTCTGAGTTTGCCACAGCACTAGGACTGAGCCTAGACCACTGCCACTCAGGTTCAAGAATGAAATAAATGCTTATTGTTTTCAGCTACTGAGTTTCTTTGATGGCCATTGGGAGTGCACCTCCCTTCTCTTGTTTATCAGTGATTCTCTGCTCTCATCTTTGGAAACTGTTAGCAGCATTTAAAAGACTTAAAGCACTAATGTTTGAAACATTTTGCTCTTGCACCAATGTTCCAAGTTCTTGGTTTAATTCCCTCCCCCCACTGTGTTCCACTAACTCTTTAGACTGTCAAACCTGAACACTTGTGGTGTTGAGCTAATCAGATCTGAATGAATTGTACTAATTTCAGGGGAGGCTGCCCCAGGTTGTAACTGCTGACAGAAGCCTCACTCTATTAAAAGTAATGTGTACCTTTTGTGATAAACAATAAGATCCAAAAAGAAAGATGGATGCCCCCATGCCACCTTTTTTAGGCAACCAACGAGGAAATTTAATATGTGTGTTTTCATTTCTTTCTCTGTGTTCAAGTACATATAAAGACACATACATGCTATAGAATAGTTCATTTTAAATTCGTGCTGTACATATTACATTACAATTTGCTTTTCTCGGGCCTCCCCGGTGGCGCAGCGGTTGAGCGCTGGGCTGTGAAGCTGCCCGCAGCCTCTGCAGCGCTGGTTTGATCCCAGGCCACCAGGCGAGGGTCCCACATGGCGCGTAGACCTCTCCTGCCGCCCGCTGCTCCCCTCAGCAGTGTACTTCGTCAGTCTGCCTGTTCTGTTCCCCACTCTGGCTCTGGTGAATCCTCTCACCCTCCTGCGCTTCTGACTGTACCCAGTGCTTGTGTAAATAAATAAATCTTAAAAATTTTTTTTTTGCTTCTTTCACTTAACTCATGGACATTTATACAAGTTCTTATATACAGAAGGAACTCTTTATCTTTGATACTAGCATAATATTCTAGAAGTATTAGCCCTTCCCCCATTGATGGACATTCAGGTTATTATTTCCCCTCCCCCTTTTTTTTACTCACTACAAGCAATGCCACAATCAGTGTTACTATATGTCTACTTCTACCCTGGTGCCTTTAATTCTATGGGACAAAATTATAGCCATCTCTAGGTCAAGGGACATGTAATGTTTACTATTAACTTTAATAGTTACTTTTCCAAAAATTGCAGCAATTTATGCCTCCTTCCCTTCCCTCAAATCCTTGCCTATTCCGGATGTTAGCAATTTTTAATTTTCATTGGTTGTTACTTGCAATCTTTTTAATTGTTGCCAATCTGAGGGTTTGAAAAGTATCTCTTAACTGTTCTCCCTTTAACTGCCCTCCAATTTACTTTCCACTCTGCGGAAAGAGTGATCTTTTCGAAACACCAATCTTATAATGTCACTGTCTGCTTATTCCCCATCACTCATACAATAAAGGCCAAAACCTTTGATGCCCTGTGGCCTAATTGTCTGCCTCTCCGGTGGGCCTTCTCCAATAGGAAAGACTGTTGGGATTGTTCTCAGTCTTCTGAGAAGTCAAATGCCATTTAGATTGTTGCTGGTACAAGCCTCCTAAGGAGCTACACCTTTGAAAAGGTGACTAACTTATGCCTGAAAGGAATAATTATTTCTATTTTATTTGCCTCGATGGAAGTGTTTTTCCAGTTGCTTCAGGCAGATCACTTAACATAAACAGGGAAGCATAAGACTTGTCCAAAAAAAAAAAAAAAAAACCTAAAAAACAAAAAAACAACATGTTAGGGCGACACCTTGGCTCCCGCGGAATAATAGGCAGAAAGTCTGATCATAAATGTAGGGGGTTTTGCTTCTCTTGTTTTTAAGTTGGACTTTTAAAGTTGAAGCTGCCTTTAATGTTCTGGTTTGCAGAACAGGAAATCTGATTTTCAGGGTGATAACACATTCTTTGACATTACCCAGTACACTTGGATTTTTAATGACACTTTCATCTTCAAAGCCCTTCACCAACTCCGATGGATTAATTATTCATTTTTTGGTTGTGGGTTAAAAAGACAAGTCTTCAAAGCCATCATCCTTTTTTTCCTTGCAACTGGGGCTCTCCACCTTTCAAATGTTGCTTTCCTGCCCCTCCCAAGGGAGAAAATAAATTGCATCCTTTTTTTTAAAAGACAAAAAGAATACAATAGAAATATAATCTTTGTACTATGGAGAGATGATGTCCTTATATCCTGGGTGGGATGAGAAGAGGTCGGGAAGCAGCGTTGAAGCTGTGTTTACTGTAAGCACGGCGAGAAATAACTCCGGTTAAAAGTGTTTGTTGCTGCTCAGCCTTTTGATGTGCGTTTTTTAAAAAAAGTAGCACCAATACACATAAAGTGCGTGCGTTCTAGCCAAGTGGGACGCAACATGCAGACCCTTCTCTTGGTCGCTGCAGTATCTTTCTTTCCTGTTCCCTTCAAAAAGAAAAGTCTAATTGGGTTTTTGAAAGGTTGGATTTTGGAGAAGAAAACCCTCCAGCCTCCCCCGGGGTCACCCTTGGCTTGACACATCTTGCAACCACAAGGGAGCAGTCTTCGCTTTGATGAGGTCTTCCCTCCTCCTCCCCAGAAATGAAAGAGCAAGTGTAAGTTTGCAAACAATCTAAAAGCTCTTTCCATTAGTCCACCACGCCGGAAACCACAAAGGACAGTCAAGTTGGACTTTTCAAGGAGAAAGCCTCGGGTAAAGCTTCCCTCCGCCGCCGGGAGAGCTGCAGGTTCCTGGGAGGGGCGCTCCCGACACCTCCCGATGCCCAGGCCCTGGAGACCCAGGGCGGTGGATTACAGGAATTGAAAAGCTGGGGTGGCTTTGGGAGATTACCCTGTGTTTGGTGTGCGCTCGCATTTCCAGGCTAAGGGACGAGCGGAGGGGCCCTTTTGTTATTTTTCCAAAAAACCCTCGAAGATCAGAGGGGAAGAAGGGGTTTGAAGTGTGGATTAGGGGCTCCCCAAACTTCGCCTGTCACCTCCGTTCGGATCTTTATAAAAGCATCCAGGAGTGCCATGGATTTAGAGAGTCGTGCCCAGTTTCCCTGAAGCCTGTCCGGGGGAACCTCCTGGCTTTGGGGACTCAGAAACCTGTCCGGAGGCCGGCGGTGTCAGGCAGTCTGAATGGACCAGCATCTCCGCTGTGCAGCTTGGAGATCTCCCCTCGCGCTGAGCGCTCCATCTCTGCAGAGATTAACCTGTTTGCTGGTCGGCGAAGGATGGAGACGCGTAAACCCGCCGGGCTGCTGACCTGGCCTTACCACCTGCGCACGGTGCCCCTGGGAATGCGGGCGCCCCTCCCTCGCCTCCCGGCGGGGGACCCCTGCAGGGTCTCCCTGCGCCTGGACGCCGCGTGCTGGCCGCTGGCGCGCGCGGGCTGCGCCCCGGGGCGGCCCTACCTGGCCCTGCCGCTCGGGGGCGCCTTCGAGCCCGCCTTCCTCCGCAAGCGCAACGAGCGGGAGCGGCAGCGGGTGCGCTGCGTGAACGAGGGGTACGCGCGCCTGCGGGACCACCTGCCCCGCGAGCTGGCGGACAAGAGGCTCAGCAAGGTGGAGACGCTCCGCGCCGCCATCGGCTACATCAGGCACCTGCAGGAGCTGCTGGAGCGCCACGCGCCGGAGCAGGAGGGGCCGGCCGGCTCCGGCCCCCCGCGCCGGGCTGAATGCAACAGCGATGGCGAGTCCAAGGCCTCCTCGGCGCCCTCGCCCTGCAGCGAACCCGAGGAGGCGGGCAGCTAGCGGGCGCCGGGACCCCGACCCTGGCCCCGACCCCGGCCCCGACCCCCGGGGTTGCAGCTCTGAGCGTTGGGTGCCTGGGCTGGGCCTCCCTCCGAATGGTTTGCATTTTCATCCTCCTGCCCCAGCTCCTCCCCAACCCCCAGCCCCATCCAGGACTTAAATCTTAGGAAAAAGTAATCATTGCTTTAGGGGTTTTGATAATCGGGTTACTCCCCCAGCCCCTTACCGCGCTTGCAACGCGAAGGTGCTTATTAAGGAAACTTTTCCTGTGTTTCGAAAATGCAAACGGTGCAAGGTTCTGAGCATCTTATTCTAAAAACGATTATTCTGAACGCTCAAAAGGAATTCCCTCCGCTGGGCGTGCGGCCGTGGGGGTAAATGATGTGCTTATGTTGAAATGAATCCAAAGTTAACCAAAGGTCTTGCCCAGAATAAACGCACACACGACAGTCCTTACGACGAGAGGATGGTTCTCCTGCAGGCCCGCCTTTGAGAATGGATCAGAAACTTGGCTGACACCGTGCTTGGCGTGAAGGGGACTCTAAGCTGACACCTGAGAACAGTTTCCAGAGCTCCACAGGACTGAAATGTGGACCGGGTGCGAGAGAAGACATTTAGTGTTTGATGCATCCTGTTTTTATGGCGAAGTTGCCAGACGAGGACACCGTTACAGGAGTTAGCAGATAACCTATGTTAGTGATCTTTTTGGAACAGAGCTCAGATTTGTCTGCAAGCTTTTCCTCTCGGTTGTTTTCAACACTTTTTTCTTTTCTTTTCTTCCCTTTTATCTCCCTCCTTATGGCTCTCGTGCCATCTACCCTTTGGTTTAATTAAAGTGACACCATGACTTGAAAAAAAAAAAAAAAAGGAAATACTTAGATGGTTGGATGGGATGGATTGAGACTGGAATATTCTGGAACTTTTATCGCCATGTGGGCTTCCAGGTATGTTGAACTTTGGCTGTGACTTTGGCTGTGTTCTGGTTATTTTTTTCCCTCTGAAAAAACGTCATGAATTCAGTAGATAAGTCAAGTGCTTGTTGACACAGAATAAGCATTGTTGAAGATAACTTTTCTGTCTTAAACATTTTTTAATAGGCTAACTTGCCTTTTCCACGGATGCAGCTTTGGTATGGAGGGTCGAGGGTGGGGCCAGGCAATGCCCATGGAGAGTAAACCAACAATGATGAGCCTTGTTTCCGGTGTTCCCCACAATGGCCCCCACTAGATGGGCTTTATTACCTCCTATTGATCGATGTGTCAACTGAGCAAAGCTGATCTTTAGTGACCTTCTTTTGCATGCTGGGAATTAGCATTGGGTGTTTTTCATATTTTTTCTATTCTCACATATCTGTGAGGTGGGTATTACATGTATTTTGTCGTTAAAACAGTGAAGCTGGGCCTCCCTGGTGGCACAGGGGTTAAAGTCTTAGCGCTGCAGCATGAGTTAAAGTCAAGCTATCGCCAGCCTCTGCAGCATGAGTTCCATCGATGCCTGACCAGGGAGCTGACCCACGTGGCACTGCAGACCTCTCCTTTCCCGCCGGCTGCTCTTCTCAGCAGTGTTTCAGCAGATCTGCCTGTTCTGCTCCCCATTCTGTCCTTGGTGAGTCCCCTCCCCCAGCCGCCCAGGCACCTCTGGCCTGCTTTGTACCTGAGTTCTTATATGCATAAATAAATAAATCTTTAAAAAATAACCAGCAAAGCTCTGAGAGGTTACACACCTAGTCAGGTTAGTGTCGGGTTAGTGGCTGAGCTGAGATTCAGTCTTGAGTCTGCCTGTCCCTGGGTGTCAGCCTGCTTGCTTCCTGGCCATGATCTCCATTGCTGTCATTTAGCTGGGTGACCCAGCCAACCTTATTTAACCTCTGCGCAACTCAGTTTCCTGGTCCTGTTCCCAGGAGTGGAGTAGTGGAAGGCCTTGGTGATCGGCAAGGTACTATCCAGTGATAAATTAGTAGTTATTTTTCGGAGAAAGTCCTATTTCTTACATCTGTGGAGAGCAAGCTTGGTTAAAAATGTTGGCTAGGTGGAGTTAGTGTGATTTTTTCAGTGTTGCAAGAGGGCAGAGTAACCACATTCTATTAGGATTTAACCTTCTACCATAAAATTCTAGGTAATACTTGCTCTTTGGAACGCTGGATCCACATCAACACATATACTTGCTACTATTTCTAATGAGTTATAATAGGATTTTGTTGTTTCCAACTGTGCCGATAAATGCTGTATAGTGAATGATTCAGGACCAAACTTTCCTTTTTCTTAAATGCTGGAGACTTTCGGTCAAATAAACAAAATGCAATCGCTGTTTCCTCCTGCCTATGACATGAATTATATCCTGGCAAACACCTGTAACTAGCAGTTTTGGTCTCCTACTGGTTGTTATTCCACATGGGGGTTTCATAGAAGCAAGCCCCCGAGTGAGACATATTTACTAATCAGGAAGAAACAGAGGAAACACCCATGTTGCCTTCTTGGCGGAGTTGGAGGAGAAGTTAACACTAGTTGCAGAGAATTTTAAGACTTGTTTCTTTATGGCATCTTACATGCTAATAACACTCTCCATTCTGCTCTGGTGTGGGGCAGGCACCTTGACATTCTCTTTTCTAAAGTAGGAACAATACTACTCATAAAACAGTCTATTTTTGTTTAATCTACAGCGATGATGTGGTTGCTTTTTAATGCATAAAAATACTTTTCTTCACGTACATTCTTTAAATAAATGTATAACATGTATGAAAAATATAATACATTTGGCTGGCTGAGATGGATGATTTATAACAAAAAGCTTGAAGGTAGTTTTAAAAAGAGAAATTTATTCTGAGAAACCTTGTGAGGTTTTTAATATGGTTTTGTCTGGAGGCTGACTGGAAATGAGTGATTTTGAGAAACCTTTAAAAAATAACCCATTTCAATCATATACTTGTAGAGGAAAGAAAATCTGGTCCCCCTTTTTTTTGGAACCTGGCTTACAGGAGGTGCAACAAAATTTTTAAAGATTGTAATATTTTAATCCTCTCGTGGCCATCTATATACTCCCCACAGATAAGGTCACTGCAGAATCTTTAATCTTTACTCCTTCCTTTCCCAGCACTGCGCTGGCCTCTGGCCCCCGAACTTTCTTCATTCTGTGTTTGCAATTTGCTGTTTTCTGGAAGGTCTTTTCCTTCTCCTGAGGGCCGTGTCTGGCAAGTCTATGTCTGGTTCCTTCCCCTTTGCGTATCCAAGGGGTCGTAGATCATGCCAAAGCCGGTTGTCTTGTCTCCACCAAAATGAGTTCTGAGTCCAGATGCAAAGAAGATGGCGGGGTGGTCTTGCACATTTAAGCAAGTTCCTCTGACTTTCTGTCTTAGGTTCTGGTGTCTTCCTGGGTGAAGGACAAAGGTGATCACTTGTTCCTCTGAAGCAGTGGGTTGGTCCTGAACTTCCTGGGCCTGGATAGTTACTATGTAGCTCATGATGGTGGTGGGTTCTTCAGATAGCCAGGGAGGAAAAGGGCAACAAACATTTTTCAATGTTCAATGATTCCTTTTCCTGTGAATGCATGCTTAATGAACTGTACAACAATTAGATGCTCCAAAATTAATCTTTACAGAGTTAATTACCACTAAGTTTTGCAGAAGCAGTGGAGTGAGGGGATTTTTGTGCAAATTAATACATTTATGAAAGGAGAAAACTTCTATGTCCTTCACAGCCATCATCATATTTTTCTTAAATTTTTTGGTCACTCAGCCCAGATATGGCCATTGATTACACTTTATTGATTTAGAATATCGCCTCAAAGCAGAAGAGTGACAGGGTGGAACAGAGTGTGCATCTTTAGGCCTTGTTCAGCTCTGCTCCCCACTGACCTGGTGACCTTGAGCGAGTCTCTAACTTCCGAGGTCTAAGTTCCTTCGGTAGAAGGGAAGATTGGAATACATGATCTTGAAGGCTCTCCCAGCTGGGAAATGCTATTCATCTAACATGTGCAAAGCCCCGAACTGGGGAGAAAAAATGTCACTAAGCCACTCCCACGTCTGGCCATGTGGCGTGGCAGCTGTTTCTGTGTCCTCTTTTCCCACTAGAAAGATCCAATCCCAGAGCTGCAACTTGCCCTTTTTTGAGTCCTAGTTGCTGTTACAATCCACCCCCTTTTTTAAAATGCAAGCGCCATTAATTGGTTAAATGGAATTTGAAGGATTTTACAGTCTGGAGGAAAAATGGACTCATTTCACTTCAGTATGAAGAATAAAGGTATCAGGGTTCTAACTGAGATCCAGAATGAAAAGGCTGCAGAGGAAAGAGGGATCTGTTTCTGCTTCAAGTGAGTAGAAAATCAGGAGAAGAGGCTGCTTAGGGGAACACAGCATATGGCTGGCGAAGATGGAAGAGAACTACAGGCAGAGGCCAAGGGGGGCAAAGGTGTCCAGAAGGCAGGAACTATGGGGACTAGACACTGAGTGGCAGGAAACCAGAACGGATGGCTGCAACAGGCTCCAGGAGGTGTCGGAAGCCAGGCTGAAACAAACAACATACTTGAACTTTATATTTTAGATAATGGGAAACTATAATTAAAAAATTTTTTTTTGGTTTGGAGAGAGGGTGAGGTGTTGGGTGCTGTGGTTGTGGAGTGCCCTGGTGGCAGGAAGCAGCAGACTAAGGACAGGAAGCTGGGCGCAAAGGAAGGCAGCAACAGTGGGATGGACAGGAAGGGAGGCCTTGGGAGAGGATGTGGGAGGGGCATCAATAGGTCTGGGGGAACAGACTGGGGGTTCGGAAGAGGTAGAGGTTAGAGACAACTCAAGTGTGCTCCTATTAGCTCTTGCGGAAACTCAGAAAGAGAAGCAGGTGTAAAAGATGTGAAAGTCTTGTTTTAGATGTGCTGGATTTAAAATGCCTGTAGGCCCTTCCTGCCTGCACGTGGTTGGAAATGCTGATCTCCAGGTCAGAGGGAAGGCGGAGATGGCTGTTGATCTGAGAGTCAGACACATGTAGGTGGTAATAGGAGTAGATGAGATC